GGTTTAGGGTTGGGTTATTGGTAGACATTAATAAAAATCAATCAATGGGAAATTTAATAAATAATATAAATAATTCTCATTAACTTCCGGCCGCAGCAGTATGCAATCTATAGCTGATTAACCATGTGGATGGATGATAACAGCTTTCTGAGCCTACCAGTAGGCCCAGAACGTCCCTACTGGCCTATATCTACACTGAAAAAAGGTGTTGCATTCAGAATTGTTGCAAACAATTTATTTGTGTTGAATTTAAACAAACAAATTAAGTTTAGTAATGTTCAACTTAATTTGTTTGTTTAAATTCAACACAAATGAATTCTTTACAACCACTTAACGTAAATCCAAGGAGTAAATCCAAGGAATCTGAATTTTTTTTTCAGTGCATCAGCTACTGATAACATCCATTGAATCAAGTAGCATTTGAATTGGCTAAAATTGGCTTGAAACATAGATGATGTACTCTTCTCTTTTTCTATAAAACCTCATTGATTTCTGTTCATGAAGAACATCTTTGTCACAGAAATCAATACAAATTGAGCTATCACATCTCTTCAGAAGACTTTTGAACTCAAATGCTCTATCAATGTCAATTCCATCTGTAAAATTCAGGAACTTTAAAGGTTCATGAACATTTTAAAGCATTAAAGTTCAAATTTGATGAATGTTTAGTGGACTGAATGGAATGGATTTTTAAAAAAATACTTGTGTTGCAAAGATTAAAAAAGAAGCACAGTTTTGGAATGGCATGAGAGTAAATAATCTGAATTTTCAGTTCTTCATCTCCAACAATCACCAGCTGCCTTCAGTATATTTTACTAGTCAAAGATTCAATCAGAAGTCTAGTTTACTGTAGAGGCCTACATAATTTCAGCCATTTTTACCAATTTTCTTGCGTCAACTGTATTAGGAAACGTGACTTGTGCAGTATTTTCAATGTGTGTTTAGGAATAGGGTCACTGTCACTCTACAGTAGCACCACAACGTCCTGCAACCCACACTGTAACGAACCCAATCAGTCAATCAGTCAATCAATCAATTGCACAAAACATCAGGAAATGATGTGGGAAGCCACCAGTAAGAGTTACGCTGTGATATGCAATCTCACTGTGTTCTCCAGTGCAATACAAGTGCCTCGCTTTTTTAAGGAAATCACAAACTCTTGGTAGCTCCAACTTCGCACATACTGAAGGAATCTGTATTATTACCTGATAGTTGAAGGTCATACCTCTTGTTCATTCCAAGGTTTTGAACAAACGTTGTCATATGAATCATTCCAGAAGCCTTTTTATATTCAGTGCCTACAATATTGTCGGTGGAAAAAAATGTAAGTTATTTCGGGGGGTTTCAGTCACGTTGAAGCAGACATCTTACACTACAGTGCAACACCCAAACATAACTCATGTCAAAGCATTATACCTCTTTGGACCAATCATTTACCTCGGTGTACATAACGGTTTGTTCATTTGATTCGTACAAAGTGAAAGCGGTTTGCATTGTTTGTTTGTTTTGTCAGTGCTAGTATTGTATTGCTCTCCATATACTTTTAATGTTTGGGAGTCGTGAGAAAGCCTTGTTTTATTTTTCTCAATGTCACGTTGTCATTCAGAGTAGAGTTTTCACAGGTCATGCCGAGTTGAATTAGTTTCATGATGAGATGAAATACTGAGAATAAGAATGCTTAAGGATGTCTACTAAGTATAGCTTTGTTATTGTCTGTATGTTGTAAATTTGAAATCCATGTTAATAAAGAAAAAAAAGTTCTTTATCTTGGAGAAGGCCAACTTTTATAGTGAACTTTTTTTCACTCTCATTCAGAGAATGGATAGTTTTTAATACTCATGTCCAGGGCTTAAGTTGAAATCTGATCCAGCACCTCATTTTACCGATCCCCCTCCTCAACTGCCCTCCTCCCCTCACTTTCCCTTTTCTCCCATTCTTATCGGCTCCAGTAAAGCGTCACGCCTCCACAAGCGCGCGCTTATTTTTTTACCTAACTCATCGAGTAACATGAAATTCACATATATTCTAATTTAAGCATGTGTAAGTAATATAAAATGTTTACATATGTGCGAGTTCATTATCTGAGATGTAGAATGCAGGGAAAGCGGTGGCATAATGAGACACTGCAGCACTGCTGAAGATTGTTGGTGTTTACAGCAGTTTGACTGATAAATCTGAATTTGTAGCTAAATTGTTAACAGTGCCAAACAGCATTTCTCGTTATTTACGTCCTTATTTACATCCTCGCAACAATATACCGTTAATGCTAGAAACTGTGCATGCAATTGATCAATTTTACCAAATTAAAAATACTCACAGGTTGAGGCTCACAATCCACAGCTCCAACTATTATGGTTGGAGCTGCTCCTTCTTTGAGTTTTCAGCCAAATCCAGCACTGAACTGGTAGAGATTTTGAAAGCTGTCTTTTGTCAAATGCTAGCTATATATTTTCTATATTTTCTGAAACAAATTCAACTGTAAGCACCTCTGACTTTGTATCGTATCCTTTGAAAGCCCAAATACAGAAACAGAATGAGCTCTGTGGAAATGGCAGTGTTTGGACGGCATTTTAGCTTTCTCTGCTGTAACATTACAGTGTCTCTGGCCACGCCCCTTCACTGTGCAGTGTGTGTGCGTGGTATATACGTGTAACCGGAAACCCTTGTGATCTCACTAGCCCGGACGTATTTTTTGTAGTCCCCAAACTTTGTTCTCTTTAGGCTTTGCTAAGCTAACTCTGTAAAAGCCATTGTCTCCCTTTGCATTAAACTATGAACACACAGCTAGATTACACATCAACTAGAGTTTAAAATATGATATCGTAGTGGACCAGCCCTTTATGTTGCTACTTTTAAAAATTATTTTTACTGCTTGTTCAAACTACTTACGTAAAATGAGCTGAAACAACACAATTCTTGATATTTTTGTGACAACTGAATTGTTTTATGTCCACATAACTTTTAAGTTAACTTACTTGGTTTGTGTTGGGACAACATGGTCAAGTTGTGAGGAACCCTGCATTTTTTACAGTGTTGCACATTAAAAAAGACTTATGAAAATGTATTTTATATATTTAGAGTAAGAAATGTACAAATATTCTTCATAGAACATGACCTTTACTAAATATTATAATGATTTATGCCATCAAAGAAAAAAACAATACAATGTTAGAAGTTTATTGTAATAAAATACATGTAACATAAGACATAAGGTTTTGTGATGGTCACATATAATGAATATTAGCATGATGCCTTTTTTCTGAGATATTGCATGCTTTTTTACTTTAATATATCTGCTTATACTTTACATTCAGGTTTCAGTAGTTGGTTTATTTGCTAACCTATATGAACAGCATTCAATAATCTTTGTTTGGATTAAACTCCAAAGTGTCTCTTGTGCCAGCTGGTAGCACAAGTTAATGTCCTGCAAGTTACACATAAACTAACAATGAAACCATTTTCATCAGCTAATGTTAGCAAAGATGAATAAATACTATGATAGTTTTGTTCTTCGTTTATTTGGGTAAATACATTACTTATAGAACTTATATAAAGTGCCATAAATCTATTACTCTGAATGACGATGTTAATGACGATCATCTTGCTCATTTTGAAATATTATTTTTCTAACGTTATTAAAAAAGTATACTTATATCAAAAGAGAGAATAAGTGCAGCATAATACTTCATCAGTTAAACAGAAAAGTCCTTAAGGAAGAAACCCCGGTGTATCATGACACTTAATAGTTTCAACACTTTATAAGAAAAGTCTGTCTTCAAATGAATTATGCATGAGGTTTTTAGTGGAAAAAAATTGCATCGTCTGTCATCCTTTATCTGGATGCAACAAAATATTCTGCCTCACTGCAAAGGTCAGAATGTTAAAGAGATTCACTTCAGTTTGGCAGTCCAAATAACAACGTTAAGAGGTTTACATCTAAGTGTTGCTTCAATATCAATACAAGTATAATGCAGTACTGTTATACTCCAATCCACAGGCAGTAAGTCCAGTCTCTGTTTTACATTTGAGAGAGAATGAAGATCTCAGTGTGTGTCGATCATTGACACATATTGTATGCGTTATATTTTTGAGGATTGCTCTAATTCTATTACAAACACAATAACAGATTTTGATAATTGCCTTTTCCCATTTTTATTAGGTAAGCTGGGTCAGGGGAAATTTCCAATCGACAATGAAGAAATAAGCACTTTTTATTTATTAATCAAAGTTTGGTTACTAACACAAACAAACAAACTACACTCAAAAAAAATACAGGTTTGTTCGAACTAAGTATTTTAAATAAGCTGAAACAACACAATTCTTGGATTTTTTAGGGGTACAAATAAAAAAAATTTGTACTAGTACTAGTACTGCTCTATGTTGTCCAAACACAAATCCATTGTGTGGTACCCAGCATTTTATACAGTGTATATAAGAAAAACTGGTCAAGGTCAGAAAGCCTGAAGGATATATACTGAAATTCTGTAGGGAAGAATGCTCTCCAATCTCTTTACAGGTTTCCTTGGAGCACATCAGGCATTAAAGAAGAATTAAAGACCTACAGAATTTTCCTTTTTGTGTAAAATTTTTAATGCCAATGTATGGTTTGATTTGGCACATTTGGAATCATAAGACCAATAATAAGCAGCACAAGTGTTTTCACTTTAAGTTTAGTTCCGTTTGTAGTACAAATTTATACAATCACATTCATAGAGTTTTGTAACAAGCTAAAATATACATGACGGTTAGTTAAAAGTGGACCTTCATTCATTACTTTTTGTTATTATTATTACTATTATTTTGAATAATATAATTCATATTTAATTATCATCTTGTACAATAATTGTTTTCCTGTGTTAAGCATATTTTGCTGTTTGTTTAAACTACTTATTTAAAATAATCTAAAACAACACAATTCTTGAGATTTTTTTAGGCACAACTTTACTGTTTTATGTTCAATTCACTTAAATTTGTAAAAATAAAATTAAAAACTAATAAGCTAACTTAAGTCCTTCATGTTGTCCTAACACTATTCGGATCATTTTTTTACAGTGTACCATGATTTTATGTTCATGTGACAATGATACTAAAATGTTAACCTCTGAAACAAATAACATTTTTAAATATACTAATAAAGGAAGGGCTACATTAAATGCTAATAAATTCTATCAATATTTCACTAAATTGCTGAGCACTTAACTGCGTTTACATTATCAGCTCCACACAATGAAATCACTGCTGTTGTCACTCTGTGTTGAGCGTCCCAGTTGCTGTTCAGGTTTTGCAGGCATCTCAAGGGGTCGAGGTGCATTGGAAGTCAACCAACTCAATTATTTTTCTTTCGAAACACTTCAGAATCTACCCGCTTCTTGTACCTAGAAACAACACAACAATCATGGCTGAGGAAACTGGAGAAGCGGAACGAATGCCTCTCATCGAGGAACCACACAGAAAAACTGATTCCAGAAGAAATTTGATCATAATAAAAGCACTGCACACTGCAAACTTTTTACTTGAAGAGGTGTTCAAAAGACGAAAGCCTTTATAATTATTACAACACATGTCATGATTCATGAATATTAGTAAAGTTTTATGCATGTGTCAGAATCAGAAATGATTCCAAACTCAGGAAGATTCATCTACTGAGATTTAATGTGCTTGCAGCAAAGGAAAAATACAGAAGAAACGCAAGAGGTTCCATTCTGGCTGCTTAAGGACATTCATTCAGGACAGTTTTTATACAGGCATACAAACAGATGATGAAGCATTGTCTTTAATCATTAGTCTAAACAGTTTGTTTAGTTAAATCCTATTGATCATATCATCAAATCATTGTCATGACTCTTTTGAACACCTCGATTGTTTGGATCAGCTGTGTTTGATTTGGATTGGAGCAAAACTGTGCGGAGCTGCAGCACTCAAGGAACTAAGTTTCAGATTTATGGTCTAAACAGTTTGGTAGAATCCTATCATATAATCAAATATAACTACATTTACATGAACATCCATTATTCAAATGATTTGCTTTAGTCTAATTAAGAGAATAATAAGACTAAGGTGTTTACATGAGTTGCTTTTTGAGTGTTACTTTCAGCACCCTATTTGCATTTCCTCCGGAGTTTCATGCAATTTCAGTAATAATTCGATTAAGGTGTTTTCATGCCTGTGCTGTACTTCAGTGATGCGACCAAATTTGGCATACTCCACGTCTAAATTCGATTTGTCTTTAGTTCGATTAGTTCCTTAATCTGATGAAATTAATCAAAAATCACTGTTTAACTCCTAATCGAAGTATTGTCTTAATCGCATTAAATCAAATGATTGGTGTCCATGTAAATGTAGTGTCTGCTCAATATTCCAGCAACTGGCACCATCCAACCATTGAGCTGATTGTAAACTACAGTTAAGCAAGAAGCACATGCATGAATAACATTAACTTTGGGTTTCTAAAAGTATAGTTTTTGGTTTTTAAAAGTATACATATATAAAAAGAATATAAATACAACATATGGACCTTGTTTGAGATGTCTTTGTTATGACAACTTGAGATAAACCAAATACATCATAACCTGTCTTTATAATGTCAAGTTGACATTACCCAGACACGAAAACTCATCATAAATCTGTCATAAACATAATAGTCATGAGGCCATTAAAATAGCAGTAACTTTAATATTTTTCATGACCACAGCTACAGTGGTACAAATAGAATTTGTCATTAAAATGTCATCAAATGTTTTCAAATGTTAATGATTATTTATAATTTATTTATATTGTTTATATTGTAATAAATTCATTTGACAGAGTATTGACATTTTTAATGAGAAAATGTAAGTACAAATTAATTTTGTTCCACTGGAAAAAAGTGATCAGAAAAATATTTATGAAAATATCATGTCTGTCATGTTTATGACAGATTTATGACAAGATATGTTGTCTTGTTAATGTCAAGCTTTCACAACAAAGACATCTCAATGTCATCTTTGCATGCTTGCCATCGAATGCTTTCATTATAGATGTGTGCATTTTTAACGAGACACATTAATAATTATTATGTTTTTAACTTATTTAATCAAATGAAAAATCCCTTATCTTTACATCCCAAATGATGAGAGGTATCTCTTCGAATTACAAATGACATAACTAAGCAAATGACTCTTAATGACAGTTGTCATATGCATGCATGAAATCTCATTCATAATCATGACGTGGGTCATGACATGATCATAAAGGTGTCACGACAGTCTTATGAACACCCTCTTCAAGTAAAGTGTTACCCACTGAATATTTTACAATATGATATTTCACAAACTGAGACCTTGCTTATTTATTTTGCTGATTGTTGCAAATTTCTTTTTGTCTTTGCAAAGTTCATATGCAGACAAGATAAATTGAAATCGCTGGGTAAATCAAGTAAACAGTAGCGAATAAACATCTAAATCTTTGCTTTCCAAACATTTCCTCTGCATTTTCATCTGGAACATCTGTCTGTTTGTTGTATTTCATGCTGTGTCTGTTTCTCAGGGCTGTCTGTATGTGTTTTGAAGGTAAATAGATTGAACTCATCAACATTCTGGACGGTGGACGGTCTCTGTGCTCTGTTGTACTCAAACTTTTATGAAGTCTGCATTATAAATAAGTGAGAGGAGCTGAAGGTCACACAAATGTTGTCCTGTCTGTTTCAGAGGCCTCAAGTGTCTTGAAGCACATATAAGACACATCCTACATCCTGCGCTTTCAGTGAATGCTCCAGCAGTTTTGTGTTACCTGTATTTCTATCAACTGCACAGGTGATGGCACTCATCGATGAATGAATCCTTCAAGTTTCTTTTCATTGAATAGAGTTTCATTGTAACAGACAGCATCATGAAATCTACGAAGAAATGGAGTGGATTTTCCGAACGAACTGGATGAAGTGGATTTTCAAGATCAAATTATTGAAACAAAAAGCTACTTGTTTTATTTCAATGTCTATATATGGAATAAAATAGTCATTGGCCTATAAATGGGGTAAAAATGCAGAATTATGAGATGTTACATCACAATTTTGAGGGTAAAAAGTTCAAGTTGTTAGATAAGTTCTGAAAGGGGGGGGGGGGGGGGGGGGGGGAGTATGTAAACCAGGAATCTGTGAGATAAACTGTAAGATAAAAGTGTGACTGAAAAACAATGAACCGAATCTTTAAATCAGTATCAGCAAATTCAATTCACGTTTATTTGCATAGCACCTTTCAAAATAATTCTTCTTCCAAACATTTACAAAAGGTGCAAATTATTGCATTACAATCAAAATCAGTGTGAGTAGGGTGGACAGTACAGCCATCAAGTGTATTCATACAGCAGTCAATCTGCATTTATATGATACATTGTACTTTTTCAAAAAGGTGAGTAAAGAAGTAATGTTGACTACATTTAAAACAAGAGGAAACCCATTGCCTGAAAAAGAAGTAAATAAAATATGTGGAAAATTACACTTTAAAAAAAATCATAATTTTACGGTTTAAATAATAACAGCTGTTAAATTACAGAAACTTACCATAAAATTATGAATATTAAATTGCAGAAGTTTACCAGAAATGTAAATTTAAGGACATTTCTGTAATTTAATATCCGTTATTTTACCGTATATTTCTGTAATTTAACGGCTGTTATTTTACGTCATAAATTAAGTATTTTAAATTCTAAAATTACGGATTTTTTTTACAGTGTATAAAAATAATTACAACGAGTCTACTTACTTTTTTAAGTAAATCAACATAATGCTTTTAAGGCTACGGGTTACCTCACTTTTATAAAGTTGCCATGAAATCAAGATGTATTATTCTTATTGTATATGTTCTAGCACTTGGTATAAACTATGTATCAGTGCAATTTATTATTTTATAAAAAAAATTAAAAAAAAAAAAATTCTCTATTTTGTTAGCAATGCCTATCTTCCAACAATCCAATCGTTTCCCATAGGATGAAGCTGAGCACCGCCCTACATTTTTTTCTAATTTCAGAAATCATTTCAATCAACCCAGTCTCATTGGAAAAATGTACTCAGGGATACATTTGTGAGAACAGAGAAATATCTATCCTGCACTACATCAGTTTTTGCTTTAACAAATCCACTAGTGATGATCTTAATAATATGTTACTGGGGCATGTTTTCTCATACAGGTTTTTTTTTTGCAAATCCCCCAGAGGCTGCTGTGTACAACTCTAAGGCCCAATCCCAATTCTCTCCCTTAGCCCTTCCTTTTTTCCCTACCCCTAGTTTTGCGCATTCACTTGAAGGGGTGTCCCAAATATTTTTAGCTTGAAGGTGTAGGGCTTAGGGGAAGGGCTAGATAGCCCTTGAAACTGAGATTTTTCAGGACCACACTCGAAACTAAGAGAGTAAGAAAATTAAATAACGGCGTTCATGTTTTAGCATTATGCTTTAAAAAAAAGTTCAAATAAAAACCGCTAAATTTGGCTATCTATAATCCATCATAATACCTCCTGTATAGCAGTGCCACAAGATACTTTCACATCTGAAACTCGATGACACTCCAATCACCTGTCAGAAAAGTCTAGTGGCTGGGAATGGCTTTTTTTACAGTGTCTGCTATAATGTTAACGTTGTTTTCTTGTGTTTACATAGATAAATATGGCCACTAGGTAACAATCTTATTGCCACATTTTTATGATAACATAATACATGCCTTGAGTGATTTCCTGAAAATAAATACTAAAAAATAACACAACTAGAATAACTACAGCAGTCGCGATCATCAATCCCATGGAGTAAGAGATCGCGATGACACATGATGACGTGTGCAGGTGCTATAGTTCTGTCCCATTTCTTAGGGGTAGGGGTAAAAATAGAATTGGGATTGGGCCTAAATGTCCTTCTCTCACATGTCCATCAGAGAAGCCGGTCGACTTGTCATTGTGCACAATGTATCAGTTTGATATCAACTGACTGACTCACCCCCTTCTCTAAACCCAACCAATAGTGTTCTTAAAAGCAAACTAGAGAGAAAAGCTATCACGGCTGTTTGGTTATAACACGGTATCAACCGCTTTTTGTGTGTGTTTTGTTTAACCTGGTTTCAGAAACCATCCTTTGCTTTGTTTGCGGTGAGCTACCAAGCAAACCAGGCATACTGGACATGCTGTCTGTGAGGTTTACGAGCCAGGAAGGCTCGTAGTGGGTTCTCAAAGGATATAAAAAAATGAGAAAACCTCAAAATGATGGCACAACTCGCTGATATAACGTGTAAAGTGATGGTTTATTTACAGTGTACGAGAGTGAAACCCAAAACCCAGCAAAGTAGCAAACAAACAAAAATAAAAGAAAAATAAACAACAAACAAAACGATATATGTACAATCACAATAAAAATGTACAAGTTATAGATCGCTTACGGCACCACAGTAGCTCGCTCGCTCGCCAGGTGAACTGACCCCGAATTGTTGTTTGGGGCTGCCTTTTAAAGGTGAAGCCCCACCCCCTTAACACAGACCAACATACCCTAATTAAAAGGTAAGTATAAACATCAGTACATGTTCTCCGGTTTATTATTTAAAAACCATTAAACCCCAAACATCCACAATTAATCAATGTTAACTAAAATAGATCAAGATATAAAGATATAAACATATAAACATGAACATTTAAACACATAAAGAAAAGTATAAACCCATTCCCCCCCTTTCTCTAGAGGACAATGGACTAGTCTGCTTCCGGTTGCTCTGGAGCAATCCACAGTGAACCCGGCACTATTTAGCCAGGCCGCTGGGAGGCGCTCTGTTTGACCGGCCGATGGAAGAGCAACCAGGAAGACAGATGAAGGAGAAACACGGATACCAAACAACCGGTAAAAATTAAACAAACAATAACTGAAAACACTTAGATACGGACAAACCAAAAACATTAAACACTCAGACAACATGTGTATATGCGTGTATTTGTGACTATAGCGTGCGTTATGGATGGCGATGAAGAAATGCGTTTGTGGATGCGTTTGTGTGTGTGTGAAAACCAATGAGCTGATGGCGGACGTGTGCACCCGAATCGCCTCAAGCTTTTCTGGATAATTTTGGTAAGTGAATTATGTTTGAATGTTGAGCACTGTTTGTCAGCCAGGGACAAGTCACCTCATCACACCGTCCATATGGAGGTAAGCAGTCAGAGGTACCACCCTGTAGTACTCGTTTTACACACAAAATACATATTTCTTGGTTCTCAAAAATGTATCCCTGAGCACATTTTCCCAATGAGCCGGTGTTTGTTTCAATCGCATTTACATGATGATAGGGGGAAAGGACAATCTGGACTTCAGTTTTTAACTTTAAGTATCATCATGTTTTACAGTGTATATCTATAATATTCTATTTTCTATATTTTTTTCAGTGAAATATGATTTGTGGTGCATTCATAAGTGAACATGGGTCATCTTCTTAAGTGCTTATAACATGGGGTGTTTATAAGAAAGTGTCTGGTGCATATGGAGGAAAGAGTGTGTGTCTTTGTTTTCTTGAGGGGAGAAAAAATCTTTTAAATAGATCTATCAAAACAAAAGCATCAAGATTGTGAGATTTAATCTAAGAGTCACAACATTTGTGTTCAATTGTTTGTTAATTATTTGTGTGTGCTCACAGCCTCCACCTTCCTCATGGATTCAGCGCTGTTCTCAAGGCCTTCGCTTCCGAATCCTTACAGAAATATTGTTTGCTCTAAAAGAATCTAGATCAAATATTGCACTCTAGGCTGAAACTAAGTTGCACAAGGCCAGATCTGCCACTATGCCTGATCTGGTCTGAGAAAAGGCTCAAACTGCAGCAGGATTAAGAGGAATGACTTCTTCAAGCATAACTTCTAATGTGCAAGAGCTCTTGAGAGAATGAATAGATATGACCCTGAATGGAACACAATCTCGGATCTAATCAAACTCGATCTCCGACATCAAACTGTGTGCTTTGGTGTCGTTTTATCTTCTGCTTTCTTTTTCACCTTGAACATCCTCAGAGGCGCTTCTGTAATATTTGTTTCCTGAAGTGAAACTTTCTCTTAGACATATTTCTATATGGCACTCATGATATTCACTCGTCTACACGAGTGTGCAATGGAATATAGAGACCAAAGGGTGTTCAGTCTTTTGTTTTGACTCAATGTTGCATTTATCATCATTTTGAGGATAAAATTATGACATAATGAGATATAAAATGATGTTGGCATGTGTGCCTCCCTCACAAATACAATAGTAAGTACTGGTAATGCATAGCAGAACTAACTGGGGATTATTACATTGCAGCGCCACCTTGTGGTGCTAATGAATGGTTGATAGTGAAAGTTTACAATAAAAATATCTCGTATATTTCTGTATGACATAAATTAGGATATACACAATTTTTCTTTATAAATTATTAATATAATACTAATATATTTGAGCAAAGACGTGTTGACTAGATCATGCAGAAATTATTTTATATGTATATGTATATATATATTATTTATTACTGCTATTTCTAATAAATAATTCAGATTTATTAAAGGAATAAAGCAGTGTTGACTAGAAACTTCAGTTGTCCTGTTCCAAATATTTTTTATGTTATTTTAAAAGAAATAATATTAATATATGAAACAAAACAGCGTTGATCAGATATTTCACACATCATATTTCAAATATATATTATTTAATAATACTACTTCGAATAAATAATACAAATATTTAACAATGCAATAAAGCAGTGTTGACTTGAAAATTCAGCCGTTATAAAAATATTTAATTAATATTATTTCAAAATTAATCATTTTAATATATTAAACAAAGCAGTGTTGTATCATATTTCAAAGCATCATATTTCAGATATATTTTATCAGAATTATTTTTAAATTGTAATACTGAAATAATAAATAAATAATATATATTCAAAGAATTATTTGAATTATTCATGTATGCAAAATATATAGAACTTTCATTTTTATTAAGAAAAAAAAAACATTCCACTGTGAATTTGATTTATATAACTTATGGATACAGATAATAAAATGATTCAGTAATTTATTTTTAAAAAACTCTAGTAATTGGTATAATCAAATCTAAAATGCAGCAGTTCTTACTAAAGCTACTGTACAAGTTTAGAACACATACCAGACACTGAAGTGCATTTTTACACCATTCAAAAAAGAGGAACTTTAAACTTTTGAACCTTTAAACCTTTTGGTTTTCTATGCTGACAAAGAAATGGAAGCCATTTCAATCTTTTCATTTTTGTTTTGTATTCTTACATTTGTTCCAGTTTGTTTCCTCCAGTCTTGTCTGAGCTGTTGAGCTGTGTCAGTGTCTTGAAGGCTGTAAGTAAAGGTCACAGTGCTGTAGGGTTGATCCTCAGGACTCAGTGTTCTCCTGCTGATATTTCTATTTTTTCTGTGAGTCCTGCATGACCTGCTCATATGAAGGAGGAGGATGATGAGGATGAGGACCCTGGCTGTAGTAGGAAAGCGCACTCACTGCAGGGAAGACAGTGGAAATGACTGCGGTTTCTGAGTCTCCATAACTGTGAAAGCCAGTCTGACGCAGGCCTATTAATAACCACAGCAGATCACAGCACATCAGTGACTTATCCACCATTTCCATTTCCCCTCATGATGCTTTGGTTAATTATGGGAGCAATTTCTGCTAAACTACAAACAAATCTGAAGAAACATAACATGGTGAACAATGAACACACACTCTTAGATTTAAAAGTACTAGAGCTGTCACTTAACCTTTCAAAAGGTACACATTTGATCCCAAAGAATCCATTTTAGTGTCGTAAAGAATAGTTCACCCAAAAATTACCTCATACTTTATTCTCCCTCATGTGGTTTTAAACCTTTAGGAGTTTCTTTCTTCTGTTGAAATCAAAGAAAGGGTTTATTTGAAGAATTCCGGTTGAATTCTGTTTGTTTTTTTTCCTACCATTAAAGTCGATGAGTCTTGGCAACCAGCAAAACCACATGAGTAAATGTAAATGATGAGCTAATTTAAATTTTTGGATGAACTTTTCTTTAAAGGTACATATTAGTACCTAAAAGGTACACAAGAGTACCTCTTGAATATGTTAGGTAATAATAGCAAACATGGACCATTTAAATACAAATGGGTTCCTTCAGAAAATGTACTGCCCCCAAGTGTCAGCTCTCACACTGTACAATTAATTCGGAGATTGCAGTTATGCTTATGCTAACATCACATTAAAATATCAATTGTAATGTTATTTTTATGACAAAAAATAAAGCACAAAGTAAAACATACACTGAAAAAAAGTATCAGTTGACTTTAATTTTAAAATGTGAGTGAACTCATTGCCTTAAAATTATTATGTAAATGAACTGTGATTTAAAAAATAATAATTAGGCCAACTTAAAAGACAAGTTGACCCAAAAATCAACCCTTTTGTTGATTCAAACCCCTTCGTTCATCTTCGGAACACAAATTAAGATCTTTAGGTGAAATCTGAAAGCATTCCTTATTATCCAAACAAAACACAGACACATCTGAGATATTCGTTCATAGCACAACTAAGTGTAATACGTGAATGTGCGCCTTATACTGACACTAAGGACAAGAAATTGTTGAATCATTGTTTTAGTTTTATGTGAACACTTAAGACTTATTGTAACTTGATATTCAGATTGAACCATCGAAAAAAAAATGGGCTATTTTAATAATTTTTTTTGTATATTTTCTACACACTGAATGAGTGGAGGCCATTGCTGTGTGTGGAGGATTAGAGATCTCTCAGATTTCACCCAAAATAACTTTGTGTTAAGATGAATGACGGTCTAAGGAGTTTGAATCAAGATGAAAGTTAGCAATAAACAACACAATTTAGATTTTTGGGTGAACTAACCCTTTAACAGTTTCAAGTTACAATGGGTTTACACATTTCTTAAAGTAACCAATCGCTTTTTTTCCTTACTCAGTTTTCCTTATGTACTTTGTAGCATGGCCTTATTATATAAAAATAACATGTTTCAGTTCTTGTGAATGGAAATTTCCCAAGTACATCTCACAATATGAAACAGTATAGTTAAGGGTGGGAAAATGTGGATAAGGAGATATTACCAGGTGTTATGATAGGGTTTCTGCTGAAGGCTACAGTAAACTCAGGCCTGTCGGATGGAGGGTAAGGGTGAGCCCTTCTGCGGATGAAGTAGCCAGTGCTGCAGCAGCATAAAATGGCAATAATCAGCAGTAACCTGCAGATCAAAGTCAGCAGAAAATCACTAGAAATGCTCCAATCCAGGGCGAAGATTGATGGTTGTTCCAATTCATTCTTTAAGCCAAGTACATTTTGAACGTAATTTCGTAGGAAACCAAAAATAAAATGAACTTTGAGGCAAGTGACCCACCAGAAATACCATATTCTTTGAACAGCAAGAGCTCGAACGCAGCATTCTGTGCCACAGCAGTCCTCATATGCCTTGCATCTAGAAGAAAAAAACATATTCATCCTCATCCTTTAGCCCTTTTATGGCTTGAAGGTCATGCTGAAATATATATGATAAGCATAATGTTTTATATACATTCAATAGTGTGAGGCTTTAAATATTATATTAACTAAATACGTTTTATCGATTTCAATTTAGTTAAAAAATAGTTTTTGTAGTAGTTAAGATGTGATTTATTGATAAAGTAGTCAACGTTTGAAGTGGATCAAAAAATGTTTTTTTTAATTGTCCCAAAACAAGAAAAAGTTTTGTTCAATAGTTTTAGACAACTTTTATAAACCTTTTTTAATCCACTTCAAATGCTAACTACTATATTTATTTTTATAATTTCATTCATTAATTAATGTTCTTTTCGTCTTAGTCCCTTTAATAATCAGAGGTCACCACAGTGGAATGAACCGCCAACTTATCCAGTATATGTTTTGATTTTCCAGCTGCAACCCATCTCTGGGAAACCTCCATACACACTCATACACAACTGACAATTTAGCCTACCCAATTCACCTGTACCGCATGTCTTTGGATTGTGGGGGAAACTGGAGCACACGGAGGAGACCCACGCGAACGCAGGGAGAACATGCAAACTCCACACAGAGACGTCAACTGACCCTGCCGAGGCTCGAACCAGCTACCTTCTTGCTGTGAGGCGACAGCACTACCTACTGTGCCACCGCGTCACCCATTTTTATAATATATAATGTAAAACAAATTGGCGACTCGGTGGCGCAGTGGGTAGCACGATCGCTTCACAGTAAGAATGCCACTGGTTCGAGCCTCGGCTGGGCCAGTTGGCATTTCTGCGTGAAGTTTGAATGTTCTCCCTGTGTTCGCGTGGGTTTCCTCTGGGTGTTCTGGTTTTCCCTACAAGTCCAAAGACATGCGGTACAGGTGAATTAGCTATATGCTAAAATTGTCCGTAGTATAAGTGTGTGAATGAGTGCGTATGGGTGTTTTCCAGTGATGGGTTGCAGCTGGAAGCATATGAAACATATGAAGCATATGTGAAACATATGCTGGATAAGTTAGCGGTTCATTCCGCTGTGGTGACCCTAGATTAATAAAGGGACTAAGCCGAAAATAATTTTTTTTTTAAGCTCACGTATATCAGCATTGTATTGAATCAACTAAACTTGAACAAACAAATAAATACAGCCCCAGTGGGCATACAATACATATTTAAAAAGCATTAAACTACATAAAATATAAATATATAAAATCAGTTTAGCTAACTTAGCTAAATTAAAACAATATACATTGTATAATGTATTGTACCTCAGAAAAGTCTGCTTATTTATCATAGCATAGGTTTATATATAGTATATTTAAAGGTTTCATTCAGCACAACGCTGCACTTGTGAGGTAAAAGCACATTGATTTGATGATGAATGTGTTGTGTTGAAGTAAAAGTAAGAAGCCTCTGCCGTTCAGTTCAGTCTCACACCTCCTGTGGCGTCTGTCAGCATCCGGCCAAACATGAAAACCAATGATAAATCACTCTCATTCATACCAGCAGAACAGAGAGGCAAAGTTTCTTAGCTAAGTGATTCTCTCAATGGACATCTGAATGAATCATTTAACCACTGTTCTGTTAAGACTAATAAGAACAAAGCTAAAGGGCTGAGTTTGGTGAAGACTATTAAAAGAAAATGCGGCTCCTGCTTCAGTACTTAAAACCATTACTGCCCATTTCAACCAATCATTTGTTTACTGAACTTACATGAAATACACAGGATAATCTCCTTCAAAGTACCAACAGTACTTTTTTTCAGCAACTGTCTGCAAAAGAAGAGATTCTGCTGAGTTTCCAAAATAAAGCAAAAGAAAAAAAAAAAGACAAAATAAAGATATTTGTACACTTTTGGATAACATTAAGCAGCCAATCAGTTTCTGAGAAATTCCTAAATTTTGATTTATTAGGTGTGGATTTGAATAAAATGTAATTCTGGTTCAGAAGTTAAAATAAAACTGTTTTGAGCATTTTAGTATAAAAGAGCAAAAAGGTGCCATCTGTTCAAAGGTGTTTAATTTTAGACAACACAATACTATTGTTTGAACTATAAAAAGGTTAAGTAAACAATAATCTGAGAAACAACAATCACAACATAAAACATTTGTTTTTCTGACCAACAGTCATTTTCAGAAGAGGAAAAATACATCGGAAATGACCATGTAATTGAAAATTTGGAAAAAATATTACTTGACATAAATATTAAGATTTTACTCAAAGCCATCCTGTGAATCTAATAAATCCAAAGAAACGTAAAATTTTCAAATGGACTCATACATTTTTTAAGCAAACAGCTCTTAACTGAACCAGTTTGCATTAAAGAACAATGCAAAGCAAAATCAAGATTTGACTAAAAATGTACTCTGAAAAAATTATATCTAATATTTAAAATAAGACTCCTTCAGCCTTAGTGTTGGCTCTCGTGTTATTTGTCTTTTGTGTCAGACATCCTCATGAAAAAGAATTACCATGTTGTGACACTAGTTTTTCCTGTATAGCCAGTTGGGTCATACAAGCCATTTTGAGACAACTGTGTAAAACTGTGTTTTCAGTGATTACAGAAACTACCGATCCAATTTACTTGATGCTGTCATTTATTATTCAGTAAGCAAAAGGTGAACCATACTATTAGAATTTGAATTATTAAGTCTATATTTAATTAACTTTAATATACATAGAGTTCTACTTATACGTATGGACAGAAAAGTCTATTTAGCCTACATAATACTTGTACTCAGTCTTATGGTTGAGATACAGGCTACCTAAAATAGGATTATTTATTCTAATTATACTCATGTATGAGTAACTTATTAAATAGCATATTTTTTATATTTCATATAGTTTACATTACAAATCTCATTTAGCTGATGCAGTTTGTCTTGGATTGTGATGTAAATTTCAGTTTCATTGTAATATGGTTTGGCATTCCAATACATATGAATTTTTAAAGACAACCAATATACTTTCAATTTGAATGTGAATTTTGTGTAATCCACTGACGGTAATAAGGTAATTAAACATTTACATTAAACCTAATTTCAGTATGGTTAAATTTTATTTCTAGTGAAACTATTTAAAATAAACCAAACTAAAATTTAATTAAGTTGTACATATATAAATAGTAAACAATATAAAATAAATCTAGAAAATATACTTAAAATAAGCAAAATGTTCGCCAGTTTAGTTCTAGTGCCAATTGGTGCTGAAACAGAACATTGACATTACCTACTACATAACAAATACATAAAATATACTTGAACCCAAGTAGAATAAAAGGGATAGTTCACCCTCATTTTTCTTTTTGAAGAAAGTTGGAAACCTGTAACCCTTGACTTCCATTACATTTGTTTTTCCTATATGGAAAAATTTCCAAAATCTTAGTGTTTGATAGACTAAAGAAACTTATAAAGGTTTGGAACGACCGAGTGAGCAAATAATAAGCAAACTGCATTTTCTTTTCTTTTGTGTGTGCGTTTGAAATATCATTTTAATAAAATGAACTTGAAGGATACTTTGTAGGCTTTTTTTTTTAACTAAAAAGTTTTTGTTTTGTTACAGTTGAAATGAAAGCCACCACTGATATACAATGAAGAAAGAGCTTCTTGTCTTTGTCATAGACAAGAACAATAAACAATGTTTTGTGTTAGCTGAACAGAGAATCTATCCCAGATAGCAGGCAGTAATCGGCCCGAGCTCGGCTGCCCTCCGGCGCCTCCGGCTCCGACTCGGCATCGGCGAGTGTTATCCGGGCCGAGTGCGGCCCGCAGCTCGCTCGCGCACATGCGGCTGTAAAGCACTGGCCCGATTCCGGTCAACCATATCCGGTCCGAGTCTGTCTGTAGAGTCCTGGCCGCTTCTGGCAAGGACTCGGCTGATGGCAACCGATTAAGTTCTTATTTTATCTAGTAATCTGTTAGCTCCACGTTTAATGATAATTTGAGAAAATATTCATGGTACGATAGCAAAAAAAAAAAAAAGAATATTTAGTGTGGATGGTCTCAATGTTTAGACGCAAACAAAACAATATTATTTATAAATAGATTATACATGTCATCTAGAGAAAAACTATGTAAAATTCGCTTATTTTTGAGATAGCACGCTCCTGTGCTGACTGTTTTTTTTTTTTTTTAAAGCAGAAGTTGGTTTCATAATAAACACATGCGTGACTAAACTCATGATCCAAACTCCAATCCAGACGGTGGCGGTAATGCTCCAACAAGCTGGTTGTCAACCACCATGGCACGAAGATCACAAGAAGAAAAAGTTTGATTTTTCAAAGATTCCATGTGGATTCCGGTCAGAAAGGTAAGCTTTTTACTGCTTGTGTACTGTATAATTAGCGAATTTAGAGCTTAAAAAATTTCCACGGTGTTTGGTTGTAACAGCGTTTAGTAATTTAAAACAGTTTGATACGAAATGTAACTTGCTTTAAGAAACACGACTGGAGCTAATGTATGCTAACGCTAACAGTTACAAACACGTCTGAAAGTTCCTTTTCCTTTTACACTATGTTAGATTGTAACGTGTGTAGTAACTGAAAACTATTTTAATTATTTTAAAGAAACATGAAACGAATTTGTGTGTATGCTAACTTTGCGTTAAAGAAAGTTTCTGTAGACGAATCCATTAACTAACATGGCAAAACGTGTTTTTTTCCTGATTTAACATTATAAAGTACCGTGGATGTTGAAAAAATCATTGTACAGGCGTATACTTATCCAACAGTATTAATTCTGTGATTATGTGTAAATAAAAACTAATCGTTTTGGATTAATAAAATATTATTGTTTATCTTGTTTATGCAGTTAGTCACGAAAAATGATCGAAACTCGACTGTTTACTATTCTCTTTAAATTATCCAAGAGAAATATATTAGTGTGCACTTTAATTCATATGTGTTAGCCTATGTGAATCAATTATATCTTTTGTTCAAGCTGTAATGGTCAGTTAATGTAAAACTGAACGTCTTAAAGCAGATTTTGATGTTTTTTTATGTTATTGACAGTGATAAATTCTGATTTAAATGAATGGGTAACAATATTTGTTGGTTAAATCTTATTGTTCTTGTTTAACAAAGGTTAGTGAGATCATTATGCAGCACATCACGACCAAAGAAGTCAATGGCACACTCTTTTGAACGTGAATAGGCATGTTATAGTTGTGTGCTAAAAGTCCATTATAAGCTGTAAACTGCTGATACATTTTCAACATAGATTGAGCTATTCGGACATTACATTACTAATTGCTTCACAAACAGCTGAAATGGTTTATTGTTATTGGCTATCATCATCAAACATTTTTCACAATGGTAGGTTAATCTTCATGGGTACAGAATAATGCATGTGCTTGACCATCTTACAAATCTATGTCTCAGATTCATAAGGCTGTCACTCTGCATGAATCTCCAAATAAATCTTGTGCAACCTTCTGTGTACTGATTATTTACACTATAGGTATTATATGCATTAATTAACTTTGATAGTATTTTAGGATTTGAACTTTTCTTTACGGGAGGTTAACAACAATGTGATGTTTCATTATAGATGCATATGAGGAAGCTCGACTCAAACATCCAACATCCAACCCAACTGTGATTTCTGACTGGTAGACAGATGAGGATGATTATCGCCTGTCATACATCTAAAGACAGAACAGGTTTGTTTGCAATTATTTTAAACACATACTGTCAACATTATGTCATTGATCTATTACAACCTGTGAGTTTTGACCTGGCACTATACTAAAGTGATGTTTTGTTTTGTAAATGTATCTGATTAAGGGACAGTATAGACACATCTATACCATGATGAAGAAAAATTACTTGGAACAAAGAGGCTGGATAAAAGGCAGGTATGAAGATTTCAGAAATCAATGCAGCACCACAAGTACCATCACCATCAATGACTATGGCAGAAATCTTAAGACCACCATCAAGATGCACAGATACTGTACATTCCAGTACACCAGGCGTGTCCAAACTACGGCCCGCGGTGAGGCTTTTTATAAATATCAATAGAATCTGGCCCGCTATACAAAAATGAACGTAATTCAATAAATAACCACCGGGTGTCGCTATTACATGCATTCAATTAAGCAGCAGTTCTTGTTATGATCTATAAATCTATCTATCTGTCTGTCTGTCTGTCTGTCTATCTATCTACACACAGTTGAAGTCTGAATTATTAGCCCCTCATTGATTTATTTTTCTTTTTTAAATATTTCCCAAATAATGTTTAACAGAGCAAGAACATTTTCACAGTATGTCTGATAATATTTTTTCTTTTGGAGAAAGACTTATGTTTTATTTCGGCTAGAATAAAAAGCGGTTTAAATTTTTTTATGAACCATTTTAAGGTCAAAATTATTAGCCCCTTAAGTCTTCAGAACAAACCATTGTTATAAAATAACTTGCCTAATTACCTTAACTTGACTAGTTAACTTGATTAACCTAGTTAAGCCTTTAAATGTCACTAAGCTGTATAGAAGTGTCTTAAAAATATCTAGTCAAATATTATTTACTGTCATCATGGCAAAGATAAAATAAATCAGTTATTAGAAATGAGTTACTAAAACTAATATGTTTAGAAATGTGTGGAAAAAAATGTTTAACTCTCCGTTAAACAGAAATTGGGGAAAAAATAAACGGTGGCTAATAATTTAGGGGGGCTAACAATTCTGACTTCAACTGTATGTATATATATATATATATATATATATATATATATATATATATATATATATATATATATATATACACACACGTGTCTGTGTGATGTATGTAAAATTTGGCCCGCGACAACGTTTGTTTTTTTGCATCTGGCCCTCGACCCAAAAAGTTTGGACACTCCTGCAGTACACCTATGAACATTTACAGTCTTTGTTCTAGTGCAGTTTGAGATCAAGACAGAACTTATTGCATCTCGTGATGTCTTTGTAAGAATTGAAGACATCACTAAATTTGTTAAGGTTTAATGCAGCTAGAAAGTAAAGATCAACTAGAGAATATCAGCAGTGTCTAACCCACTGTTGTATTTACAGAAGTTGTATGAGAATAAGCTACAGGTTGATTTATACTAATCTGGTATTTTTCTTTTTTAGCACGACTGACTGAAGTTTTAAAATCATGCAACGTCATAAAGCAGCAGCTGGGCCTGATTCTCACAAAACCAAAACAGACGTGATGAAATTCCAGATGTAAACACATTTGACCTTCCTTTGGCCAATTTGATTTGGAAAAGCTTGAAAATCAACTAAAGGAGCAGCCTGAACAAATGAAGAAACTGGTAAGTTCAAGCTCTTGCTAATTTCAAAGTGTTTTAAGTTTATTTGTTTTTTTTTTATTGTTTTTTTTGCTTCGTAGGTAGCCTACTTTTTTCCTAATTTTTTCTTTTTTTTTTTACATTAGTACTTGTTCACTACTAATTATCTGTTTATCTTTTAATCACAGATGGAGTGAGGACAAATGTCCATACCACGCCACTGATAAAGAAGTGGAAAAATGCATTACAAGGTAGCTACAACTTGCCCCTGACAGGGATGGAGGAAGAAAGAAGAGAAAGCTAATGTGTCAAATGTCTACATCAATATTTTGTTTTATTTTTTAAACAACATTTTAAGTGTATTAGGATGTTCCCTGATACTTGAACAATTTGTTTCTTTCATATATATGTGTGTGTGTGTGTGTGTATATATGTATGGTATGTATGTATGTATGTGTGTGCGCCAAATTCTGAAGAAACATCTTGATACATTTTTAATAAACGTAATACAAATACAATTGTAAATATAAAATTGCACAAGACGTGTTGAAAGAAAATTGCTGTTTGTGCAATTGATTTTGTTCAAGTTTATTTAAAAATAAGTTTTACTTTATACTTCTGCAATTATATATATATATATATATATATATATATATATATATATATATATATATATATATATATTTGTTTGTTTATTATTATTTTAATGTTTTATTAAAAAATGTTTCAAGATGTTTCTTCAGAATTCTGCAGTACTTTTTACAAGTTTGACTTGTATATTTTACGGATTGTCATTGGTATTTTTAAGATGTTTCTTGCTATATCTTAAATTGGTTTCTATATTTAGGTTTATATAAAATTTAGCTGTTTTTTACAAATTTTTAATTCAAGTCTATTGGGAAAACAGGGTTGTTTTAAAAACATCTGTGTTTGTGTGTAATTTTTAGATTTTTTGTTTAAATCTTTCTGTGTGTCTTTATTGTGTTGTTTTATTGTTGTTTTTATATTGATATTCTTGTGCACTACAAAATTATGTATACAATTTTAGTACTATTTTTTTCTTGCAATCAATAAACGTTTAACATTTATTTATTTTGTCATTTGTCTGATTATTTTCGTTACAGAATATGTATGCAGTTTGCACTTTATTCAAAGGTTAAACGCAGTGCTTACACTTTGTGTTTACATTATAGTCTGTGTTTGCTGTTATATAAATTCAAATGGTTGTAATACCATATATCAAGTACCAATGTAATACCAAAAGGTTTTATAAGGTGTATAAATCAATGACTGTAAAAAATATGGACGACGCGACAGCCCCTTTTGCCATTGAACGCCTTGAGGGCAAAACGCCTGCTTGACGGGCACAAACTGTCGCAAAAGACTGCTGAAATTGGAGCCAGACATGCGCAGAAGGACTGTCTGATGGAGCCAGAGGAGGAGCCGCGATAATGAGCGGAGTCGAGCTTCCAACCAAACGCTTTATGTAAAATCAACCACGCCCCCCGAACTTCTCACTCGACTGCCGGTGTCTGCACTATAACAAACGCTCACTGATGTAAATAGAAGCACATACATTAAAAAAACACAATAATATACGGTTTAAAAACGGTGTGATGTAAGCTGTTAAACTTTAATAAAAGCAATACATGGTGGACTGCAGAAATAAACGATCTTTTATACACTCTAGCCTGAATATGAGCACAAATAATATTCTCTTATTGTTATATTTGTTGTTGGTATTTGTTATCTTCATAGGGGTAGAAATAACACTTGTAAAATATGAACAATAACATATAAACAACACATACATTTTTAGAAAGGTTTTTATTTTTAATTAGCCATCAACAGAACCCAAAATATAGCCACCATAACGATTTACCATGCGGGAACAATCGTGCGTTTAGAAGATAAATACAGCAAGATTACTAAATATCAACAGGATATTTACACATCCCAACCCTGCAATTTGTCAATTTGTGCAAAAAAACTTTGCACTATTAATACAACGTCTATCTGCTGTAACATCACTAGTATATTGTTTATTCATTTTCGCTTGAATTGTTTATTACATTTTTTTGCCTCCGTTTTCATTTGGTTTATTCGATGCCTTCATTATATCTGGCAACGAGGAATTTACATTCTTTTTAATGTTAGCTGGAGTGTTCAAATAAAACGCCAACAGTAAATGATGTAAATAAATAATATCTAACATTTACAGCTCTATTAGGTTATATAAGATTCGATTTCAAGAACGTTATAATGATTTATAACAGCAAATTCAGTAGATTACTTAATAACATGCCAAAACTTAAAATGCAGAGACGTCCTATAAAGCAAGTTCAAATAACCTTACAGGAGATCAACGTGGAGATTATTATTTAAACACAAAGAGAATTACTGCTAACGATCTCCTGTATACCCCGTACTTAAATGGGTTTATTTTATTGTGCAGTTTTATTGTAATTTTCGTATTTATTATTATTATTATTTAATACTTGTGCAATCGATACAGGTTTATTGTTATTTATTTTGTCCTTTATTTAAATAATTGCTATGCTGTTTGCATCTTTATTCAAAGGTTAAACTCAGTGATACACTTTGCGTTCACATAGTAGCATGCGTTTGTTGTTATATCAACAAAAATGGGTGTAATAACGTTAACAAATGTGAGGGTTTTATATAATGAAGATTCAATCGCGCCAGCTCCGGGCATCAGCGCATAACCTAGTCGCGGCGTCGCGGGCTGATTCCGGCTCGCATGCGGCAGCGCCTGCTCGCTCGGCCCCCGCATCTGGCTCAATTGACTCAGGCTGGAATCGGGCAGTAAGTCCAGGCATCCGGAGTAGGTCCAGCAGAGGTAGTCAGTCTGAGGGGTAAGTCTCCGGCAGGCAAGAACTGGCCCCAGTGTATTTTGCTATCTGGGTGGCTAGGCGTGTATTAGCAAACTAATAAAGCCCGAAAAAAGCTCTGACCTTAGCGAATAAACAGTGTTCCACCAGATCATGTATGTCAGAAACTGTAGTTTACTGCTGAACTCATTTTGTCATAGTAAAATATCACAGAAATCGAGTAATAACACTTCAGTCTTCTGCCGAAGCTCAGACGCCGCGCTTTGAGAAATCACAGCTGTCAATCACGATGACACGCCCAGCATTAAATTACTGCTAAAAACAAACTGTTTACAAAAATGAGGATCTGCACCTATTTCAGCACAATAATCAGTGCCTTAATCGACCAGAACCATCTTTCGGGACATTTTATTGCAAGTGTAATTAATTTTTTTATTTGGGCTCAAGTCTCCTTCATTAACACGGAGGAGGCGGGCTTTATGACTTGTACTGCAGCCAGCCCCCAGGGGGCGATCTAACGGCCGAGACCTTCACTCAAACGCAAGCTTGCGGCACACTTGGTATAAATACGGAGTCGCGCCAGCTCCGGGCCACAGCGCACATTACCCTCGCGCCGATTTCGGCGCGAATGCGCAGCGTCGGCTCGCTTACGGCCGCCGCATCTGGCCCGCTTGATTCGGGCCGGAATCGGGCAGTGAGTCCACAGGCATCCGGCCCGAGTCCGGCAGCCGAAGTTGGGCCGAGGGGTAAGTCTTCGGCAGGCGACAATCTAGCCGGAACTGGCCCGAGTGTATATTGCTATCTGGGATGTGTGGTAATAATTTATTTTCGTCACATAGCGAGAACCAAACGGTATATTAAAACAAATCAAAGTCTTCTTCAAAAACATACGCATTTTATAAAGTTTTACATTATATAAAATACCTTGAAGTGGATAAAACTAAATTTGACTCATATCGCGTTACTCACCTCAGCAAACAAAAGTGTGATGAGGAGGCCGCATATTTGTCGCATCGTGTACATACACGAGTACAGACCTGAGGTTTTTCCTCAGGACCGGTTACCGGAGAAACCTTAGATTCGGCGTGTTGTTGATCCTCATGTCCTGCACTAGAACACAGTTTTTAGACCCCATGCAAAGCTCGAGCAGCAACTGCCCGTTATACAGTGAGGAGGATCACATCACATGACTGAACATCACAAAGACAGCCTTGTGAAACTTTCCTTTACTTCATCACTGTTTACAGACATAACTAAAACGTCACACTAATCACATTCATCACTCGATCATATCTTCGTTGGATTGTGAGCTTTTATTGGAGTTTTTTTTTTTTTTTATAAAACCTTACTTCAAGGTGTAAACCAGTAAACAAATCTATAAACTAGTTACACTACTAGCGCAACACACAACTTTTTAATCTAATTATTACAAAAACTCTATTGAGCAATTCCATTTAAATGTCAACTTTCCTTGAAAAAATAAAAGTTTTTGCTAAAACAGTGAAACTCCTTCTAAGTTATTTGTGAAGGCTTATATTTTACATTACTGTAAAAATACTCCAAATGTATGTCAGTGTTTTCAAACTAATATTTCAAACTATATTTGATTTACCAAAGTCACACAAGTGACAATTTCACATCAGTCACATCAATAACAGAGAGACGTCACATCCATACCAAAGCTTTTTCCTCATGAATGCAAAAATGTCAAATAAAATAAAATCAATGACATTTGTTCTAGAGTAAGCAAACGCTTATTCTTTTAATTTGAATTGTTTCTTTAAGGTTGTGCAGTTTAATTCACAGAATTTTTCGCTAACTTTTTAGTCACATCCATAACGCATGTTTATTTTTGTCATTTAAAATCTGAAAAAACATTTACGGATATTTTTCTGATCCCATAATGCTGTGGTAAGTAGTTTTGGAAAATATAAATAGATGTTTCTATAAATGTTAATATATACTTTCTTTGTGAATTTATGTTTTAAATTTTTACTACAAATGTCTCATCCATAACGATGGAATTGCTCTATTATAAATAAAAAGACTGACTCTTTATGTCGTTTCACTCCTGCATATTAGACATCTTTAGATTAAACCTTGTGATTATAACTGCAAAAGTACAAATACGTACTTTTACTTTCATTAGATTTAAATCCCTTTTTAAACATATTCATTAGATACCAGATCTGTTATTACTTATCAGGCAATAATTATTACATAAATAGACATGTGGGCTACTTTTTGATTACATAGCCTACTACACAGTTTTAGATTGTGGATAATTGAATACAAGATTTAATTTAATTGAATTTTAAGATTTAATATGGTGACCATTTTGACTAGTTGTAAAAAGCAGCTGACAAGTCAAATAAAAATGATTAATACAAAAGATCTCATAAATCTGTCTAATAAATCAGTGTTAGTATAACATCCTGACTAGCTGAAAAAAGTACTAGTCCATAATAATGAAGACACTATTGTCTCTAAATAAGTACAAGTGGTAAACTTCGAGGGTGCGTCTCGCTATTAGTTTTACTCGATCTTAGTGCGGCATTTGATACCATTGACCACAATATCCTCATAAATCGTTTAAAGTCTACAGGTGTCCAGGGACAGGCTCTACAATGGTTTAAGTCATACTTAACTGACCGCTACCAGTTTGTAAATCTTAATGGACAGCCTTCACAAATCTGCCCAGTAAAGTATGGGGTGCCTCAAGGATCAGTTTTAGGCCCTTTACTGTTTACAATTTACATGCTACCTATGGGAGACATTATTAGAAGACATGGGATCAGCTTTCACTGCTATGCAGATGATACTCAATTATATATTTCCACTAAACCTGACGAGACGTCTGAACTTTCTAAACTAACTGAGTGTATCAAAGACATCAAAGACTGGATGACCAACAATTTTCTTCTCTTAAACTCAGACAAAACAGAATTATTACTTATTGGGCCTAAATCTTGCACACAGCAGATCTCGCAACTCAATTTACAATTAGAGGGATACAAAGTTAGCTTTAGCTCTACTATAAAAGATCTGGGTGTCATATTAGACAGCAATCTAACTTTTAAAAACCATATATCCCATGTCACAAAAACTGCCTTCTTTCATCTGAGAAATATCGCTAAATTACGAAATATGCTATCCATCTCAGATGCAGAAAAGCTAGTCCATGCTTTTATGACTTCGAGACTGGATTACTGTAATGCTCTATTTGCTGGCTGCCCAGCATCCTCTATTAACAAACTTCAATTAGTACAAAATGCAGCAGCCAGAGTTCTGACCAGGTCTAGAAAATATGATCATATAACCCCCAATTTTATCCTCCTTACACTGGCTGCCTGTTAAATTTCGTATTGAATTTAAAATATTACTTCTCACCTATAAAGCTCTAAATAATCTAGCTCCTGTTTATCTAACCAACCTTCTGTCTCGCTACGAACCAACTCGCTCCTTAAGATCTCAAAATTCAGGGCTTCTGGTAGTACCTAGAATAGCAAAATCAAGTAAAGGAGGTCGAGCCTTCTCTTTCATGGCTCCTACACTCTGGAATAGCCTTCCTGGTAATGTTCGAGGCTCAGACACACTATCCCAGTTCAAAACTAGATTAAAGACCTATCTGTTTAGTAAAGCATACACTCAGTGCATCACCTAGCGGGTTCCACACTGGCTTCTACATCTTGCTTATATACACTATGAACAGCAGCTACGCTAATTATTCTCTTTTCTCTATTTTCACCTGGGGATACTCATCCCGAGGTCCTCAGATTAGGCGGAGTCACTGATTGGATCCAAGACCAGCGACGTGATGATCCCAAGGATTCCATATCCGGGACCAGGCCATATCCTGAGCTGCTGCTGCGCTGATGGTCGTGGGGAGTGGAGAACATGAGTCTGATTCCAGCGACGCTCCAGGGACAGACGAGTCTTCATTGAGGCCATCTTCCAGCATAAACCACGGCGAATGAAGTTCTGCACAAGACTTTTGGCCAGCGGAGAAATTAAAATGGTCGTGCCCAACTGAGTCTGGTTCTCTCAAGGTTTTTTTTCTTCACTCCCATCAGGTGAAGTTTTTTTTTCCCTCTCCGCTGTCGCCACTGCCTCGCATGGTTCAGGATTGGTAGAGCTACGCATCGATGAATTTGCTCTTCGGTGTTTGAACTCTCAGTAATGATTAAATCACACTGAACTGAGCTAAACTGAACTGAACTGAACTTAAACACTAAAACCTGAACCACACTGTTCCAGTTACTATGACCATTTATGTGAAGCTGCTTTGACACAATCTACATTGTAAAAGCGCTATACAAATAAAGCTGAATTGAATTGAATTGAATAAACTTTTAAAAGGCTTGTCATAATAACAAGCAAAAAAATGACAGAATGTTTAATTTTGGGAGAAGGAAAACTCTCTTCAGTAATTACCTTCAATAATTAACAACACCAAAGTATAAAAGATCACCACTAACGACAATTAATTGTTTGGATCTTTTATTGCCATGTACGATTCCAGTGTTTTCACTTTGTTATTTCCCCACAAACCAAAAGAATACAATTTGTGCAGTAAAATTAAACCATTTTTGTGTTTAACCTTCTTGTCAAGCATTGGTAGCATTACAATACAAAAATATACATATCAGGAAGAACAGATATTCTGTACATTTGTCTTTAAAAAAGTCAAATAGTTTTTCCTCATAACCATAACAACGTACCATTAATGAATATTAACCCAAAGAGATGTTTTCTTCAGGAATGGACACATATAAAGTCTTTATTCATAGCTGAAACTCTTCATGATTAAGAACATCAGATCAAAGAGGTATTGTATTATTCAGACCTTCCCATCAACAAGACACAGAGAAGTGTAAAGATATGACACTATTCTTAAATGTTGCAGTGATAGTTGCACTTCATCTTAACACCACTGAATTTTCAACACAATACCCATATTTGCATAGATCAATAAATGACTAATCACAAATAAACATCCAAAACAATTAACAACCGAATACATGTCAAAAAAAGTTAAAAGTGGCAAAATATATAACTTTGACAACTTTTTCTAGTGTTGCTTTAACACTATTGTCAACTAACATTTAAGCATGAATATAGCAATACTCTCTCCAGCCTAAATTACACACCTGAGAAAGGACCTGTCCACAAACCCACACTTACAGTCTTGGTCACTTAAACACATGTCTACTTGAATGATATTTTTCGTGTATTTAAATTATGTGTTCATAAAGTGGGTGAACAGCAAAATCCTCTAAGTGAAATTGACTCAGTTTCAATAGTATTTGGTCCCTCTCTAAATTGAGTTAATGTTAATCAAGTTAATGAGACAATGAAAATATTAGGTGATGATTAAGGACTGATGATGAACACCTGCTGTTATTAAGCAGAAACACAGAAGAGAAACACAAAACTTTATGTACTGCTGACTTCAGTCACAGCCTTAAATATAATAAATTGAATCTCTCAAAATCTCAGCAGAAGATCAACTCGATCAATAACCAAATCAACAAACAGCAGCTTTACTTATTACTAACCTGTGTGCCTTATTATAAAGAGGGACCAAATACTCTCTGAACTGAGTAAATTTTACTCAGAGGATTTTGCTGGAGGATAATAAAGAGTAATATGTATTATTTTGTACGATTTTAAAGTATATTAACTGTAAATCTGAATTTACATTGTATTATATTTTGTGATATTTAACTGTTTTATTATTAGACTAACAAAATCTGTATATTTCATATAACAAACAAAACAATTTAATAGTTGTGGTGTTCTTCTTTAAATGATAGAGTAAACATTTCTGCACTATGAACCTACCAAATTATAGCAAGATCTTGACAAAAAGTCTATTATTATCATTTGTTTCCAGAACATAATGCATGAGGAGATACACTTAGCGTTAAAAACTGCTCTGAAGTGGGATTTTAGATATGTGCACACTTCAAGTGGCCAAAAAAGCAAATGTGGGTATTTGGACAGGCCCAAAAACTAAAGCCCAAAGTGTACATCGATTATTTTTATGGATACATGTATAGTCAAACTCACAGCCTTATAAACCATAAACCCAACACATACAAACTTTCATCCTTGTTTAGTTTTATGATTGATTAGAATGTCATGATTGTTAGAACTTGGTCTGTCCACAAGGTATCAAACAAAACTGTGCTACTGTTTCACAAACAACATATAAGGGGAATAAAACAAGAACAGCAATTGAAAAAACACTGACAGCAAAACCAATAGACACTTGTATTCACACACTTGTGTAAGGGGTTTAAAATATTGTTTTAAATGAGTACAAAAATGTTGTCACTCATTTACTAAAGCTATGTGATCAAATCGATTTGAAACTGATATCGCAATTTAGCATAAGCTGCAACTATCATGCACATCAGGTCAGGAAAGCATGGCTCTGTGATCAGTAGTAAATCCTAACAGGGCACTCTCATGCACAAACTGTAAATACGGCGCAACAGAAGAGACTCAAGATATCAAACAGAGCTGATTTAACTGCCTTCATTAATTCATCGACTAATAATCTCAAAACTATGAAATTATTTATTATACTGTTATTAAATGTAGTATATTAATATACTTTCAGGTGTAGAAGCAACACACACCCATAGATCACTTAGAAATAACGAAAGCAGCGGTCACACTGCAGATTTTAGAAATACACAATTAAATTGTCTGTGATTATGCACGTGATTTTGCATAGCTTGTCAGTAAACTAAGACTCTGTGTAGTAAATGCTGCTCCATTTAAAAGCACATTCCTACTGATTACAGAACCAGCTTAACTGACAAAATGCAAACACAATCGCTTTCGATTAATCGTGCAGGCCTACTTATAACACAAAACATAAACATATATATATATATATATATATATACAGTTGAAGTCAGAATTATTAGCCCCCATTTGATTTTTTTTCTCTTTTTTTAATATTTCCCAAATGATGTTTAACAGAGCAAGGACATGTTCACAGTATGTCAGATAATATTTGTTCTTCTGGAGAAAGTCTTATTTGTTTTATTACGGCTAGAATAAAAGCAGTTTTAAATTTTTTAAAAAACAATTTTGGGACAAAATTATTAGCCCTTTTAAGCTATTTTTTGATAGTCTACACAACAAACCATCGTTACACAATAACGTGCCTAATTACCCTAACCTGCCTAGTTCACCTTATTAACCTAGTTAAGCTTTTAAATGGCACTTTAAACGATACAGAAGTGTCTTGAAAAATATTAAGTAAAATATTATTTACTGTCATCATGACAAAGATAAAAAAAATTCAGTTATTAGAAATAGGTTTCTAAAACTATTATGCTTAGAAATGTGCTGAAACAATATTCCCTCCATTAAACAGAAATTTGGGGAAAAAATAAACGGCCGCTAATACGTCAGAGGGGCTAATAATTCTGACTTCAACTGTATATATATGTTATCAATTTTTTTTTAATTAGAAAGGCTGTGTACTCAGCGGGAAAAAAATTCAAAGTAACAAGTAAGAATTTGATTAAAACACAAAACCCACATCCAGTATTTTAAAAACTGTGCTTTGCTTTACAAACACCCAAAGAAAATCAATAAAAACCCAATATGTTGCAAAACTTCTTAACGATTAAATAGCAACAAATTATTGTAATGTTTTGTCTAGACAAAATAAGTCTATTGCGTCACAGTGTTCCAATGATCCTGTTTATATATTCTGCCTTTAACTCTACACAATCTACAGTTATTCAATTGAATGCAGCCATCCATGAGTGCTCGTGAAGTAGCTGAATAAATACTAAAATATTTAGAACAAACTGTCAATTAAATAAAGGATTAGTGTGCTACTTTCAACTTACCGTGGGACTTAAACAAGTCTAAGGAATCTAAGCAGAGTTAATCAGGTTTCAACTTAGTAACATAAAACTAAATTAAGATCGTGTATCTAAAAGGAACCAGTGGCCTACTTTCATTCCAACAGCCTATAATAAAGCCTATCAGCACAAAAACCACTAAATAAAATAAATTGCACACAACCATTAAAAAAACACACTCTCAAGATTCTAACAGTAACAAAGCCATTAGAAAACACACACTCGATGATTGTTGAGCAACCACGTAAACAAGATACAAGACTGTACCTGGTATTGACACTACTGGAGAGCAGCTTCAGCTTCAACATCAGCATTATGAGAATCAAATGAGGTCAGATCAGAGGAAACAGGCTCCTCTTGGCCCTCAAATGATTGAGGCTTCTCTGAAAAACCCTGACTGACACCATCAGTTTCTGAGGGGAAATGTTCTTCAGGCAGAGCAGACGACTCCAAATGAAGAGCGGCGGGGTCAATGAGCAGGGAAGAGATGTCTAGTGCAGGTATGGAAGAGTCGAGAGGCGGGATTGAAGAATTCATCAAAGATGCCACGTCTGTCGGCACGCTATTCTCGAGAGTAGGATTTGGGAGAAGAGAGTGTGACAGAGAAAGAGGAGGAGAAGCATTTGAAGGTGGTGTAATGGAGGAGCTGAAATCCACTGCAGAATATTCCTCTGTAATTTGCTCCTCAGGATCACCACTATGGAAATCACTGTCTTGAAGCTCCTCTGCAATAAGAGACAAATCAGTGCACATTTCATGACCATGACTTGAGCTCACAAATTGAATTCTGTTCACCTAATCAATCTGTGTGTCATTTCATCTTTTCATATTCTGTTTAGCCAAAGGCCAAAATAACTGATGCTGGAGCATACCTTAAAGTCTGTCGATACCATGACCATCTGATATAGGTCAAAATATGTGACAAGCTTTATTAAAACTTCTATTTCGTCCTTGACATCAACCCCCCATCCCCCCCAAAATGCCGAAATGCTCATTTTGTTTGGGAATTTTTTTACCTGCCCAATGCCAGTTTAGCCAATTGTACTTCAGCACACCAGGCTGCCTTGGTGGAAAACCGCATATTTCATTCATTCATTCAGAAAGGCTTTAAATCACTTGCTCTTATCCCCAATCTGGCAACCTGCGCTTGTGTTTGTTTTTATCCAGGAGTACATTACCCAGTTCAACCACTGGGTGTCAAACTTATATACTGCACCTTTAAAGTACTTTACCACTGCATGAATCTTGTCACTTTTTTAAATAGCTCTTGAATCAAATCAAAGTACTGTTCTATAAACACTGCACATTCTCACAACTGCACTCTTACAAACTTCTGGATCATGTCAAGTTGGAAAGCTAAACATCAAAATCAGATCTGTGCTTTTTCCCATTAGCAATTTGAGCATCCAATTTACTGTTGTCAATTTGGGCATGACATTTCAAAAATTAAGTAATTATTTCTTTTTTAAACAATGTATTGCACTGAATGTATTTTCTGAATTTGCACTACATTTAAATTAGTGTTTTAGGTCCCAGATCCAATCAGGGTAGGGGTCCATGTATATTTTGGTCATTGGATTTTCATTTTAGAAACAAATAATGAAAAACGAAAAAGGAAAACAAAAAACAAATAATGAAATACGAGGCGTTTTTCTTTTTCATCGTAAAAAAAATGGATAAGCAAAGTTTTAAAAGATTTGGTTTTCATTTTATAAATCGTATAACAAAAAAAATAAATAAAAAAAATCACAAGAAAACAAAAAGTTTTTTTTTATTTCGAGACCAAAAAGGCTGACTTATTCACGGTGACGAATTGCTGCCACACACAGACTAGACTACTATAGGCTATTATTTTTCTCCAATTATAAAAGTGATTTTCTTGTAATAATGGGATTTAGTTTTTTTTTTGTTTTGTTAGCATGTTATAAATGGAACAACGTTTATTTTAATGCTGCATGCAATGTTTTCATTGCTTTACTGAGTAAGTGGAACATGAAAAGAACAAATGATACACAGATACTAAAGCTACATTTACACTAGAATTTGATCCTCAAAAACAAAGACTTTTGGAAATGCTGCAGACCCCTATTTGGACTTTTAGGATTGCATTCAGCATTCACCACAACAAATTTCAAAATGAAGACATTGCTGCCCACATTCACTTCCTGATTAACTCGTCTTATCATTGTGTATCTTTGTATTTGTTATAAGCCCCTCTCATGTTTCTTTTTTGTACTGCAAAAAAAAAAAAAAAAAAAAAAAACACGGAGAGAAAAACGCTGTATGCTACTTTATTGTGACTATATACAAAAAATATATTAAACCTATTACAATTTCTAATTATGTTTTAGGCTTTTTTGCAAGACTGAAAACGATGGAAAATTTAAGCGATTTTGACTTTATAATGGCAAAATATATGATCACTCTGGAGCATCTCTCATGTACACAATATATTACAGCATTGTTAACTTGAGATTGAAAACTGCAGTCAAACAATCAACTACAATCTGTACTGCCAAATGAAGATGTTTTATGTGGAAACTGGAATGTGTGAATTGAAATGCACTGCTTCCATAAAAATGGTTGCAATGTAATATTTGATTGCTAAACTACTACAAAACAATTGCATTTGTTGCGAAAGCGTGTTGCTTGATTAAGTTTAACTACATTTGGCTAGTTGTTTATAATGAATGCCATTATAATTTGTATAATGTTATTTAATAGTTGTGTGCAGGCTACAAATATGTAATATAACTTTATAGTTATTTTCAGCTTCTGACCTGAATTTAAGGTCTCGTAGGGGTAAAACTGCCAGTATGATCAAGGATCCTTCTCGTTTTAAAATCACACAAGTGTAAATATAACCTAAAGTAAGCAAAGTGGCCTCACCGACACCTGATACGTCTGCATCTTCTTTGACAGCCAGAGATGTGTTTGTCATGTCGATGGAAGAAGTGGAGAGGTCCAGTCGATCTGCAATGTCTGAAACTTCCGAATTCATCAAGGCCACTTCTGAGTGATCCGAGAAGCCTGGAGAAACCATTGCCTTGATACATTACTGTGTCTTGTCATAATTCTTGTTCTACAGAAGAGTTATATCGAGGCCTTACCAGGATCCATGACTCTCTGAATGGGAGGAGGCAGTGGGGTTTCAAGATCCATGCCACTCAATGACTGACCAGACGCCATCAGCGACACCTGAAGATAGTCATTTAAGGTTATATTATAATTTTACTGCATATATTGTAATTTAATCTCTAAGTATTTTTCCATGTCAGTATCTTTTTCAAATCTGAATGTGTTATTTAATCAATTTATGCACATACATAAAAACATTTAAGCATTTCACCAAAAAATAAAACTGTGTATGCATTTAGTTCATCCTTATATCATTCTAAACCAGGCATGGGCAATTAATTATTCCAAGGGGCCACATTAGACTCAAACAAACTCTAGAGTTTAAAAAAGGATCAGTTTTACACAAACAGTTAAGTATTTTCAAAACCAGCATCACAATATCAATCTTATATAAATGCTACAGGGTTGTTTGTTTGATTGCTTTACCTTAGTTCATTTTTATTTAATTATTTATTCATTCATTCATTTTTTTATGTTCAGTGAGTGAATTCTAGCCTGTCTTGGGCTGAACAAGTGCACTAAAATCAGGTTGAATATTAGATGGATATTTGATGTAATGATCATGACTGAGAGAATCTGTATCTGGATTGGTTCAATTATTAATCTGAGGTAATCAGTCTACCTTTATTACTGTGTAATTCTATACAACGTGTGAAACTACCTGGCTGGTTCTTGTCACATGACTCGTGGTTCGCTCACGACACTGCGAAAAGTTTTTTTTTTTTTAACTCGCTGCGCATAGAAAACGTGAGCATATGTGCATCCCTTCCTATTTTCACCCTGAAACCACGCATCTCCATTTGAAATAACAAAACTGAGCACAAAAAAGACACTATATGTGGAAGTTTTCTCTTGTCGAATCGCAATTTCAGACCTGCGCATTGCAAGGCCCTGTTTGTGGTTAAATTTCAATTAAATAAATACTTCACATGGGCCGAACAAAGAAGTCCAGCGGGCCGCATTTGGCCCAGGGGCCGTAAAATGCCCAGGTCTTTTCTAAACCATTCTGTATTCTTTCTTCTAGGTATAAAAAAAGTAAACAAATTTTTGGTATATCGCTTATAATACATTTATTAAACTGTCAACGCCAACCTAATTTCACCAAGTAGGACATGTTCCTGAATTAACATCTATGTTGATCGTGGAACAACATTCCAATCAGCCAATCAGAAATAAGGGATTTGTTTACCATTTATGTTAAGTTTAGGTTTACGCTTAGGTTTATACAATTCTACATGATTGTTATCTAACTATTATTTCCCTCTGATTTTGGGAATGATTTACAATTATGGTTGGGTTTAGGGGTAGGGAATGGGTATGGATTACATTTCGGAACAAAAATTATGTTCCAGGATCAACATAGATGTCAACATAGATAATGACAGGATCACATCGTACTTGGCAAAATCATGCCGTACAATTGTCATAGCTGGTGATCTAAATAAATTCTCTAGATCACAAGATTTTATGTAAACATAAAATCACCTAAATCTTTCCTAATTTTATTAATGATTATTTTTTTGGTACAGGTGGTATTAGTGTAAGAAAAACTGGATGCAAGTGGAGTATGGCTGATTGTAAAGCATTCAGCACCATCTGTTTGTAAAAACAAGGCTTAGAATGCGGCGCATTTTGAAATTGTAGAATCGATTTCTCAAATGCTTTTTCAACATAGCTCTAATTAATTTCATTGTGAAACATGGCACTGTCGAAACCTGGACCCTTTCCATTTTTACTAAATGAACAATAAAAATTTTATATCAAATATCTAATTGTGAGGTTTGAAAGTATGTGCGGGCAAGTAAACAACAGAAAATTTCTGAATAAACTCTAATGTAAAATCTAGTGTAATGTAATATTGTGAACACCACATGTGAAAAAAATACCTCTGAGAATCCATTTGTTGGATATTCTTGCTCTGGGTTCCCTGCCACAGGTGACTCTCTTGAACTGACCTTTTCAGATTTTGGGCCTTCGGGTTGTGCTGGGATTCGGTGCAGGTAGCCATATCCAATACCACAGCCAAGACTATAAACGCAAAAACATTACAATGAAATGAACAACAGCTCCAGAAAAGGCACTGATGTAAAACATAACAATCATTACAGTTTTATATCATTAGTAACAGTGTCAATACCTTCCTTCTCCCCCCCAGGCACCATTTGGTGTAACAATGACCTCCCTGCATTTATCTGTCTCCGTATTGTAAATCAGCAGCTTCAATGGTTTCCCCTCATGGGCTTCAATTAGGGAGAAGAAATCCTCAGACTGTTGGGAAATGACAAATCAATGTTTCATAACAATAAACCTGCATAGCGCATACACAGACTTTGTTCCAGAAATAGCGACAGCAAATTCCTAATGATTATTCACATCTTACATCTTGCAGAACCTGGTCAGCTCCAACAATGAAATCTGAATGTTCCTGGAGTCCGGCCAATGCTGCTGGCGAATTTGACTCCACATCCTAAAACCAAAGAGAGCAAACTAATTTTATAAAGAGAGAAAACACATTTGCCAAGATAACATTTAAAAAATCCAGAGATCACTTGTTAAAAGAAAAAATGCCTTATTACATTTTTACAATTCCCTTACTGTTAAACAGTTAAGTTTTACCATATTTGAATCCATTCAACTGATCTCTGGATCTGGTGGGAGCATTTTGGCTTAGTTTAGCATAAGTCTGAATTAACTCTCCTTCTGGCGTAATAACCAGGAAACTTTGCTGCAGTACCATGGCTGCAGCAGGCGCAATGAAATTATGTATTGCCTGAAAATAGCACTCCCCCACCCCTCCAAGCAGGGTCAATGGGTAACAGCATTGCCTAATAGCAATGCACCGACTGCAGCCATGGTTGTTCTTTGAATCAATGATTGATTCTAAGCTAAACTAAGATAAGCTAAATGTGTACGGTAAAACGGTAAAACTCAACTGTTTAACTCTAGATGACTTGTAAAATGAGCCTGTTTTCAAAAAATGTTTTAAATTCTTTTAATTTAAAAATCACTTACAAGAACATGCCAGACATTTTCATTAGCGCCTTGAAAGCTACAGAAACGAACACTGGCTCCCAGAAGTCCTTGTCCACCCCACATGTTGCTGGGAACCACCTCTAGCTCCCGCATCCTCATCGTCTTTGTACTGTAAACTTCCATCTTGACTGGTTTCTCCACATTAGCTTTGAGGAGGTCCTTGAGCATATCATTCTCCTGATTCTGTTCAGACGCCATATTTGAAACGTTACAATCCAAGAAAACACTTTTGACCACATTTACAGTAGACATATTAAGAGAATTAGAAGAGTAGCCATTGGCCATATTTCAATATTCCAGAACATTCTTGTACATTTCAGTGATTAGATCTGTTCAGTTTCACTGACTAATAAGAACCAAATAAATAAATTGCATTATTAAAGGGACAGTGTATGTAGAACACAAAATGACAGCTGTGAGACAATAACAGTTAAGAAAGTATATGATTATAGCAATGTAGATGTTTTGAAGAAACCATCCAATAACTAATCACACTGACAAGTGAGGTGATTACAAATACACTCTTCTTAAAGTTTGATTAAAAGTAAAGCTTAGAACAGGGGCACCCAAACACGGTCCTGGAGGGCCGGTGTCCTGCGTATTTTAGTTCCACCCCAGTTAAACACACCTGAACCAGCTAATCAAGCTCTTTCTAGGTATACTACACTTTCAGGCTAGTGTGTTGAAGGAAGTTGGAGCTAAACTATGCAGGACACCGGCCCTCCAGGACCGAGTTTGGACACCCCTGGCTTAAACTATATAAATCTAGCTATGTGAGATTATAATTTGAATTATTATCTTTCTTTGCTTAATTTGTTGACATTACTGAATGTTTCACTTTCCATTATCTTAAACATTGCATAAGAACTTGTTTAATGTGTCTTAAAACAGCAGAAAGGTTGTCAGGAGATTCTAACGTTTTGTATCTTTTAAGTTACGTAAGTTCTTCACACAAACAACAAAAATACATATATATTTATAGTACAATAATAAAAACCTCATTAGTTTTGTTGTTATTCTCCATGTGAACATAATCATATATTATGTATAATCAACAATTATAGCTTCACTGAGGTCTCAGACACTAGCTGAGGTCTAGGGATTAAAATAAACCTTTGTGCAAAACAAAAACTGCCCAATCCAACAAACTTACAAGGCGGTTATGGCCAATAGATATGATGAAATCAAAAAAGGGCTCCAAACCAGCTCTTTCTGCAGGTGAGTCTTCCTGAACCTGTAAAGCAATTGGAGCAAATCACTACAGAGCGCAAATCCCATACAGATCTATTGTTTGAAACACATTTAAATCCCTATTCACTGAAGATGTACTATATTGCACATACTGGGAACTATAATAGCATCCATGGAATACAGTATGTATTCTGAAGTGATAAATCTCTGAGAGACTGAGAACGTGTTTATGTAAATATTACGCAATGTCTCGCTGTCTCCCTGCGGGTTTACTCTTCAATGACGTGGCGGCTGCGCTTAAATATTCCTAAATCCACGAGCTGCAGGATTACCCTACAGACCACGTCACTCCAAAACGCATAGAAATAATACAATTACTTAATAGACGTTGAGGACTATGCTTTAGTGCTCAGGAAATCACAAGACAATTCAATGCTACAGAAAAACTGTCAAACATAAACTACAATTTTCCTGACATTTTCAGCAACTATTTTTCTTTATTTTTCAGGTTTTAGTGGCAAAATCTGGCACAGTTGCTTATTTGTCAAAACATTTCAGTACGCCATGAAAAAAGCTAAACATATAATATGCCTATGCGGACATGAGAACTTCATCAACCCAAAGCTAACATGCAAAGCTGTTCGATGTCAAAGTCAGCAAAATAGAAGTGATTTACCCCATGGACATGATATCCTTCTGTTCCCCCCTCGGGCCCATCACCACTGCTCTGCGTCAAACCCATTGCTCTTGAGTGTTTCGATGTTTTGTAGAGTTATGTTTAGCTTTTCCGAAACAAACGACCCAGACAGAGATTACTCATCGCATCGTGGCCATGTTGTCCATCTAGACAGGGGAGAGCAATCGAACACGATGACAACGATCAAGACACTTTTCTGTCTCCGAACTTTAGTCTTTTTAGTAATAATACTTGTAAAGATGTTGTTAACTAAAGCAGTGTTTCTCAAACTTTTTCCACCAAGTACCACCTCAGAAAAGAAAATCTCTCCAAGTACCACTAAAATGACTGGTATTGAAATACACAGTAGGCCTTATTAAGCAGCTAGAGCTATGCATAGTTCAAAAACGTGGCAGATTAATTCGTATTATAATGAATACTTATTAATGTCAGCCACTTTAAACATAATAAATAGTTTGAACAATAACACACTTATAGTAAAAAAAAATAATAATAAAATGTCAACGTTTAAATTAAAATGTGATTTTATCAAAAAGTATTATCATAAATAATAACACTGGCCAGCCCAGGTGGGACCCACAAGGGCATTAAATATATATTCCTGGAAGTATGGAAGTAGCTATCAAAAGATGGGTACACTGGTCTCTGAGTCCCACACGGACCATCCAAGGAGGGTCCCATGTGGGCCACCCCAGTTGGGCCCCACGTGGGCCAGCCCAGGTGGGCCCCACATGGGGCCTAATTGGTTTTACCAGGTATTGAGTCCCACATGGGCTTTTTTAGGTACACCAATTCATGGAAGTATGGATGTAGCTATCAGAAGATGGGTACACTGTGGTCACTGAGTCCCACACGGACCATCCCCGGTGGGTCTCACATGGACCATCCCATCTTGGTGGATTCAGGGCACGTGCCCCACTAAAAATTGCCAGTGTCCCGGTAAATGCTTTGAGGTGCAATTTACTTTAAGTGTATTTATTAAGAGGGGTAATCCAGTAATGAAGATGTTATTCTTTATGTGCAACCGAACCAATGCTGATAAAAGCAATGTAGATTAATCGAAAAGCAAACTGAGCATGTGCCCAAAAAAAAAAAAAATACACCCATGCGCCCCATGCACGCACCTCTCCTGCTCCATGCTGACATGCTGCTCTGCTTTCGGTGTAATTCTTGGCCATGAGTCGAGTCTAAGACAACACACAACAGATAATTCTATAAAGCATGATTTTTGTATTCTATAGAATTGTCTATAAAGCATTCTCAAGCTATTCTCGATCGTCAGGTATTCTCAATAAGCAGGTGCTCAGTTTATAACTATATTACTTTATATGGGGTCTGTTTGTTATTACTTTATGTAGGCAATATGTTTCTGTGTGACACTGTGTCATGAATGAGGACTCATAATTGCAAAACAAATCTACCTTATGGTATAAATAAAGCAACCTAACTTAACCTAAACAGGATCCATTTGGAAACTTCTTGAGATTGTCAACCTATTTGTTGGTGACTCCCAGAGGATGGAGAAGATGAGGGCCAATCCTACACAACACATTCACTTTTTTTAGAATTAGCATGCGTGGCTTAACTTCATACATTCATTCATTCATTTTCTTGTCGGCTTAGTCCCTTTATAAATCTGGGGTCGCCACAGCGGAATGAACCGCCAACTTATCTAGCACGTTTTTACGCAGCAGATGCCCTTCCAGCCGCAACCCACCTCTGGGAAACATCCACACACACAAACACACTCATACACTACTGACAATTTAGCCTACCCAATTCACCTGTACCCGTGGACTGTGGGGAAACCGGAGCACCCGGAGGAAACCCACGCGAATGTAGGGAAAACATGCAAACTCCACACAGAAACGCCAACTGAGCCGAGGCTTGAACCAGCAACCCGGCGACCTTCTTGCTGTGAAGCGACAGCACTACCTACTGTGCCACTGCGTCGCCTAAACTCTATACAATTGAATTTAAAAGTAATAAAAAAGTATTGTATATTCATATTTTGCTTTTTATGTTTCTTAATCAATTAATTGATTTACCTTTAGCGCATGTCTTTGGACTGTGGGGGAAACCAGAGCACTCAAAGGAAACCCGTGTGAACACAGGGAGAACTGACCCAGCCAGGACTCGAACAAGCAACCTTCTTACTGTGGGGCGACAGTGCTAACCACTGAGCTACCATGTCGGCCAAAACTAATAATAATACAAAATAATACAAAAATATCGTTTCCTGTTGTAGTTCTGGATAGGATAAGAATATGTACTCATTATTTACTCACCCTGAAGTGAGCCTTTGTGAGTTTCTTTTCATTGTTCAACACAAAAGAAAAGATCTTGGAGAAAACTGAAAACCGGTATAACCACTGACATCCATAGAAGGAAAAAGAAAGACCATGTAAGTCAATGGTTACTGGTTTGCAATTTTCTTCAAAATATCTGTTTTGTGTTCAACAATGAAAAAAAAGTCAAACAGGTTTGCGACAACAAGTGAAGGGTGGGTAACTGATGATGACAGAAATAAGTTTTGGGTGAACTAACCGTTTAAGGCTTTTTGAGAATCTATTGTTTACTGGAGCCCTCTTGTGGCCCGTCTAGACTAAGAACAGCAGAAATGTGAATATGAGGGGTATGGGTGTCTGAAAATGTTGAATCACATACAGATACACATACACATACACATTTTTTTCCTTAATCTATAGAATGCCATGATATAGACTACATTTAGATAGATTATATTTAACGTGACTAAAAGTACAGTCTTTAGTGTTTATTGAAACAAACTTATTTACATATATATTTTTAAAAGAAAAAACCTTTGGTATCACTTTATTTTGATAGTCTCTTTAACAGATTTTGTTGAATTCAAGTTACATTGCATTTATATGCCAACTAATTCTCATTAGATTATAAGTAGACTGTTAGGTTGGGGTTAGCGTAAGTTGGAATGCACTTGCAAAATTTCTTATAGTCTGTTAAATGTTGAAGGAGCACCATCAGCAGATATTAAGCAGACAGTCTACTAATACTCAAATGACTAGTAGTTGGCATGTAGTCGCAATGTAACTTTTAATCAACAGAATGTGCAATAGGGACCATCAAAATAGGGTTAACAAAACTTTAACTTGTCTTTACTTTACTAACAAAGTTGAAAGTGTTTTTATACAAAATTTGAGCAAAACAGAAAAAGATTTGTCATACATAGGACTGAATGTTTTTCAAAATGCACATTATGCTACAATTATGAATTCCTATTTACCGATTTTCAGAGTTGCCATAACAGGATGGAGATTGAAACTGACCATATATGATGGTAAAGATAATAGCAGTAAAAACAAACAATTAAGAACAGGAAGTAATGAATTCATCATCATAATGATAGACACTGGCAGTTTCGATAGGGAAAAGTGTGATATTTGGATTTAAATGTTACAAAAAGGTAACTTGTTTTATACACTTAAAGGTCGAAAGTTGATATGCCATAGACAACTTTAATTTAATAATCTTTACTAAATATCCCATGAATAACAAAAATAATAGTAAAAGTCAAATAATCTTGCAGTCAAGTCCATTCCTGTCAATTCTTGTCAAAATTAGATGTAGATGTGAAGATCTATTGATAAATTGTTACTTTTTCTTTCATATAAATGAGCTTTCTTCCTGGTTTTGTAAAATATATTTTATTAGGATGAGTTTTTCTACAGATATAAAAAAGAAAAACATTCTTAAAAGTAGAAAAACATTTACTGAAATGTTGTAAATACCACTAATAAATAAAATGAAAGTTTCTTAAAGCAAAAAGCCTGAATTTCTGTTTTACATGTCACTCATTTGAATGAAAATCACTAAGGCTTACTGGCCCTTGAAAATAAAAGTCATGTAAAAAAAATGAAAACAGAACTTACATACCTGCTGAAAAAAAACAATAGAAATATCACAGAAGTTTTAATGGTTTCCACTACAAATACCATCAAAAACTATTACAATCCATCAAAATGAAACCATCAACAGCAGTACATTTTTACTGCTTTCCAAAGTGTTTTGGGACAAACTTTAGGATTTACATTTACATTGCATTAGGATTTACAAAAAATACAAGTAGAGACAAGTAGGCACCATTACAGTTTCCATTAAACCCAAGACAATTTAAATTATAACCAATAATTCATTCATTTGTTTTTCGTCAGCTTAGTTTTTATTTCAGGAGGTCGCAACAGTGGACTGAACCACTAACTATTCCAGCATATGTTTTACGCAGCGGATGCCCTTCCAGCCACAACCCAATATCGGGAAACACCTCTACACTTTCATTCACACACATACATACACTACAGCAAATTTAGTTTATTCAATTCACCTATAGTATAGTGCATGTCTTTGGACTGTGGGGGAAACCGGAGCATCTAAAGGAAACCCACGCAAACATAGGGAGAACATGTAAACTACACACAGAAATTCTAACTGGCCCAGCCAAGACTCACACCAGTGACCTTCCCGCCGTGAAGTGACAGTGCTAACCACTGAGCCCCCCATATAACCAATAAATCCATTACAAATTCTATGATAATTTCTATTGATTTTATAACAGCTAGTGAAACACTAAGAGAGTTAACTGCATTATATATAAAAAAAGATGTTCACATTACATACACAATCTGTTAAAACATTTGTTAGAAATAAATATGAATTGTTTTTTTAGTAAACATTTACCAGTAAAACTGTAATTACTGCAATGGGATTAATTAGAAATCTTATTTTAAAAAATAGATGATTAGAAGATAATTAAGCCTTTAGTTTATAAAGAATAAATAAAAAATAATAATTACCTGAAATCATTGTACACATGTAAAAACATTTGGCAACAAAATTAAAACTGACACACAACGCATAACACATCATGCAGAGTGGTTTTAACAGTATGATCACAAACTCACATCAACATCCTAAAATACATTTCCAAGGAATATCCTTCAATTCAGGAAATATTCACGCTTTTCTTCTCAAACAAAATGAGAATAAAGCCATACTGTACAAAAAAACAAATTTGTCTGTAAATAAACCTTAGGAACTTCCGACAAGAGACTCCAGAAGGCTGATTCCTGAATCCTCTGTTTGAGCAGGACTGGGACAGCGAGGAAACTGCAGATGTGAGATGTAGTCCATATGACCGTATGTTTTAAAATGATTAAACTCATGAAAAGCGTCAAAAAACATCAAGTCAGAGTCCGAAGACAGACTGAGGTCCATGTAACCATTCACAGTGTGATCTGGAGACGCAGAAGGTGTATTAGGGATATCAAAAAAAGGATCGTTTACACATTTTACCGTGACCTGGTTGGCATTTTCATCCAGATACTCTAGTTGGGGTTTGGTTTTTAATTGTTCATTATCAATTGTGGATGCGAACCGAGCAGCTTCTTTGGACAGATCGTAGTCTTTAATGTAAGGACACCTGTCCGCATCTGAATCGGAGAAGCTGAGTATGTGAGTGAGTCTAGTGTCCTCCATGTCCTCTGAGGAAGGACTCGCATCTGTTTCCGAGTCCAGACTGAGAGAGGACGAGCAGGAGGTGTCGCTGCTCCAGCTGTTTTCCGCTTGTCTGAAGGGCGGAGAGCTGCTTTCTACAGGATTTGGGATGGATTTGTTTCTCTCTGTGGATTGCTGTTGGGTGTCATCGAGCCTTTTCTCCAGCTCCAGTTTCATGTGTGTGTGGATGTAGTGGCTCCGTACACGGCTAGAGTTGAACTCAATGCGGCCTGCGGGATTCCCACAGCATTCCTTTGAGCATCCACAGGGAAAGTTGGAACGATCCATCTGTTAACATTATAAAAACCGTCAGTACTGGTGCAGAGCTACTTCAGCTTTCACAAATACAGTGATGATGATGAAAACGATGATGATGACAAATAAAATCATAAATGATATCTGTTTGAAGATTTTTATTTACTGACATGAAGAAGAAAATGCTAAATGCCTTAGTGTCTTTCAACCATACTATAGTAAAGTACTTCAATTAATCTGTTGCGGTGGTAATACAACAACTATAGTACTATATACAAATGATATAATACTGTAATAAGATTACTACAAATATTTTTTTACTGCAATACACCATAGGTACCATAAGAAAAACGAAAGTATACTATAGAAGAGAGGTGCCCAAACTTTTTCATTTGAAGGACCAAAATCCACACTTGATTGAGGCTAGTGGGCTGAAGGTAAAAATTGTTGCCATGGGTAATTTCCTAATTTATTTAAGAATATTTAAGAATAACTAGAAAACATTGCTTTATATTATTTATATTAACTAATAAAGCATAATTGTGTGTGTGTGTGTGTGTGTATATATATATATATATATATATATATATATATATATATATATATATATATATATATATATATAAATATAATTTACATTTTATAATGAACTTAATTCAGTAAAAAAAAAAACTATTTGATTTATAACAGAATGGATTTATACTTGTTTTTGCCTTGATTTGCTCACCAATGTTTTCTGCATAGTCCTCGATCAGCTGAGTGACATTATTTATATTTTTTAAAATCTGATTTATTTACAACATTTAATTCATTTCAATATGCTTTTAGCTCAGCAATAAAACAAACAAAAAAAGGCAAAAAAAAAAAAAAGTCAAATTAGAACTTCAACTTAGAAATGAGGATCTCTTTTGAAAACAATTGCCCCAACCCTCTCCATCCTTCTTACTCTCTTCTCTGATGGAATGGTGGGCTAACAATGGGCCAACTTTGGCCCGTGGGCCCTACTTTGAGCATCTTTGCTATTGCATTCATCAGTTTATAGATAAAGCTACAGTACGCTGTTGCATTAATTAACAAAGAGTTGAAAATGCTATAATATATACAGTAGAACAAACTTCATAATATTATAATTCAAAAACTATAAAACATAGTATTTACTGTAAATAACCATAGTATTTTTTTCATGTGGGATTACAAAAAGACTTAAAACAGATTATTTCACAAATAGGCTACAGTTCAAAGCTTTAGGGTCATTTACAATAGTCTGTTTTTACTTCTATTATCTTTCCAATTCTATTAACTTTCCAAATAAATACTTTTATATCAAGGATGTATTAAATTGATAAAAGAGTCAAATTTAATTAAAATAAATAATGGTTTTTAAAAAAAGAATATTAAACAGCACAACAACATTTTTTCAACATCATTATATTAAAAAAAATCTTTCTAAAGCAAGGGATCTGAGGGATGTTTTGACAGAAAATTGAAGTAAAAGACTTATTAATAAGTCAGTTAATGGTATCATGTAATTAAAGGAATTAATTACAATTTAAAATAATATTTTGATATTATTATAACAATATTAGAGTTATTACAGCATTTTGAATGAAAAACACTAAGCTTTGATGAGCATCAAAGACCCTAGTGGTAGTTTACTTCTAAGTGTAAATTTCCATCAACATTAATTTAAACAACATTCTATCATGATTCATTTTGTCACAACATAATAACATAATTATATCAAAATCCCAAAAAAAAAATCTTAATTTATTATCGTATTTGAATTAAACCTTAAAAACTATTAAACTATTAAACAATTTTCAGGGCATTGTTAAAAAATAACGGAAATACAAAGTTTCATTAAGCCCTTGGTAACAAAATTTTGTAATAAAAGTTAGCAAACACACAATCGATGGATGAGATCAGATGCAAAAACCTTTAAGTGTCATCTGGAATGTTTCTACAATGAGCAGCCTCTTATGTTTATGTTCAGTTGTTTCATATTAAAAGCGACGAAAGTATTATTTGCCATAAAAGTGAAATGACCGAATCAAGACATAGGAGCTTGAGAAAAATGTCAATATTAGAAACAAATTTCAGATGGCACTTTGCATCTGAATTCTTCAAATGTTAAGAATAAATAATGTAGTGTTTATTACTTGGCACTTGATGCCAGCCTGACTGCAGGAGCAGGTCTCGGGCTCACAGAAGCCCTTGCAGTGGCATCCGCAGTCTTCCCTCGAGCGCCGCAAATCCTGCAACTGCCTCTTCTCCTCCCGGTCGATGCGCAACACCCCTGCGGCTCTCAACATCGCACGTCTTCGTTTGGAGGAGTAGGGGCGAAGGGAACCCATGTCCTTCAGTTGTGCACTACTGAGATCGCCATCCTCATCCGGGACATCATTCACTGTCAGTCTGGCTGCTTCGGTCACTGTGAGAGTTCCACTGCTGATCAACTATAGAAAGAAGATACTGTATGAAGACAACCCAAAGCCAACATACATACAAACTGACCTATCGGTAAGCTCCTCCCATTAAACTCACATGAACCAATGGCAAATGAGAATCAGTTACACAAGGATGAAAAATTGGACAATTTTAGATTTCAGCGCTGTAGAAAAACACTGGATGACCCAAAGCTCTCATTGGTAAGAAGGTGTTTACTCAACAAAATTAGTCAAACTATGTGCCTGAGGTACTTGTAACACTGCTTCTTGCTGCCTTGAAAATGGTTTTACTCCATTTAATTCAACTTCCAGAAGCTGCATATATGTTTTAAGTTATTTATACAGCAGGGTTGTTGAATGCTCAGTTCTCAACATTTAAAAACTTCAGTATGGTTTACGTTAGCAATCTGCAGAGTGTTTTTGGATACCGCCCTCCCAATTGCCACCAGTAACCAATTATTACCAAACTAATAATCAAAGCACTAGCAACATTGCAACGGTTAATTTGGTCTGGACCAAGGGAAGCACTTTTCTGCAGTTTTGACTCCTATTTACACCACACTGATTGCTTTGGTGCGAACCAGATGAAAAAAACAAAAATGCAGTCATGTGACAATATCCTTTTTAATTGGTCAGAATTAACGTGCAGGAAAATGCCAATGGAAGTAAACAAACCGGCAAACACAAAATGTCGCTTTTTACTATGGAGGAATGACTGTGCTGGCAAACTATACATTTCGAGAATGAAGCACGGCTGCGGCAGGAAAACAATGTTTTAATGTATTGCAGACAACGAAGGCCATCGCAAGTCACTTCAGGAGGACGCGTGAATTAATTTAACTAAACTGAAAATATTACCAACGATCTATCAGGTAATGTTTGTCCTTCTCTCTCTCTCTCTCTCTCTCTCTGTGTTTAAAATTGTTGGTCAACAAATATTTTTTCTCCACAAATTTTTCCCATAACGTACAGCGCATCAGACTATGGCATCTGGATTAGTCCAAAAAGGCACAGTACTTTTTGCGGTTTGGTCTTTTCTAGTTCGGATCAAGTTCTTACCACAAACAAACTGCTCCAGGGTTTGTTTGAAAGTCTTTTTGGTTCCCTTTTGGTGCGCTTTTGAGTGCGATCGCTACATTTACACTTGCCCAAATGAACCGCACCAAGTGGGAAAATGAACTCTATTGCGATTCAACCAAACTAAATTAGGCAAGTATGAAAACACTTTAAGACCAAATTCTGCCATATAGATATTCAATACCATACTAAATCTATCTTAGAGTTGTCATGACAAAAATCTGAACAATGTCTTTAGCAGGGGCGTTGCTAGGGTCGAAAGGGATAAGGGGCTTAGCCCCAAAGACCACCCCCCCCCTCAAAAAAAAAAACCCCCAAAAAAACCCACTTTCATAAGTTGATCTACTCTAATCTTAATAATAGGATTAGAGATGGTTTAATGATAAATAAATGCTTTTTTGAGTTAACAGTCTATAACAATAAATTGTGAAGCTTTGTGACTTGTAACACCAAAAAGGAAAAAAAAATGATAAATTACCCACTTCTTATTTACTATTCTGTTATGAGCCATGTCATGCCCTTTGAGCCTCCTATCTCCTCTCCTGATTTGTAGTTTCTGTTTGTTTTTTGAAAATAAAAATTTCTGCATGTCTTCAAATCTGAAAATATAATTTATTTTATAGACCAAGTTGTTATCCAATGTGATACAAAGCTACACACATGTTTATTTGGAAAGAGTGATTAACTGAGGTGTAGTGTTGTCAAGATACTGGAATTTCTAAATTCGATACCTCGCAAAATATTGATATTCAATGGGCTTTTTTTTTTAATGGAACAAAAATAGTACAAAAAAATAAAGATTTAAATGCTAGAAATGTGTTTACTTCAAATTTCTTTAGAGGGAGATTTTTAGTTTTCCTCAAAATAGGTTGATGTGGGCATTGTAGCACTATGAATGCATGTAATGCCTGTTTCATTCACACTTGAGCAGAAATTCCATATATGCCTCACAAAAGTTGCAGAATATTCCAGGAAAACCCTAATAATATGGATGAAGGAATCCAGCTATTGCTGGAGTTGAATGAAAATAAGATCTGAATAAACATAAAAAAGGCTTAAACTGATCATTTACATGACTGTGACAATAAATGTAGATGAAGTCAGAATTATTTGCCCCCCTTTTAATTTTTTTTTCTATTTTAAATATTTTCAAAATGATGTTTAACAGAGCAAGGACATTTTCACAGTATGTCTGATAATAATTTTTCTTCTGGAGAAAGTCTTATTTGTTTTATTTAGGCTAGAATAAAAGCAGTTTTACATTTTTTAAAAACCATTTAAGGGTCAAAATAATTAGCCCCTTTAAGCTAATTTTTTTCCAATAATCAGCATAAACTATCGTTATACAATGACTTGCCAAATTACCCTAACCTGCCTTTAAATGTCACTTTAAGCTGTATAGAAGTTTCTTTAAAAATGTCTAGTCAAGTATTACTTACTGTCATCATGGCAAAGAGAAAATAAATCAGTTATTAGAGATGAGCTAATAAAACTATTATGTTTAGAAATGTGTTAAAAAAATAAACAGGGGGCTCCGGGGGCATTAGGTATTTTCATAAGAAAGTTGATTTATAATCCGCTGCTAACTGACATAGCATGCTACTGTAGAATATAGCCATAAAATAATATGCTAGATACATGAACTCACTATGATTTAACTATTACAGAAACAGATGTGACTGGCTATATCATATCTAGATAAAGATGTCTGGATTATATATATATATATATATATATATATATATATATATATATATATATATATATATATATATATATATATATATATTTATATATATATATATATATATCATATCTAGAAAGCAAGTACAATTTACATTTTTCTGACTAATTCGCATGTATTTACATTAATGTGCAGCACGTTTTATTGATTACCTACAGTTATGTTATTTCACCAAAACTACACACATGTTCTGCTGTAAAAACAAGCTTCATCTGTAACTTAGCTAGAACTATTCAGTTTTGCGAAACAGTTGTATTATTACCTCATCAGCTTCAGCTGCTCAAAATAATGAATGATGTGCAGTGGCGGAATATTTTTAAACCATGTGACAACAGAGCCACTCCCACCTGCCAGTAGAAACAGGTACTGCTGAATAGATTACTTTTTAAATACCCGACACAAACGCTGCTTTAGGTAGAATACGCGTGATATACACGTGTTAATTGTCAGAACTTTGATAACAAAATAAATGTTATACAACCTATTTTTATTTAAGTGCAACATATTCCAAAAGATCAGGGGCTTTTGACAATACATCAGGGGCTTAAGCCCCCAAAGCCCCCCCCCTCGCAACGCCCCTGGTCTTTAGCCCGGGACATAACAAGCTAAAGAAGTAGAAGTGACGAAAACTGACTGTGCATTCGCCTGTATCCGCTGTACAAAAATGCTGCATGTGAACACACCAAACAGATGACAGTCTACCGAAACAAGAATGTTTGCTCAGTACCAGCATGAGATAATGTAACTCTCCATACACACAGGTGACAGTATCTGTAGTCATTCCACAAAGGGAAATTGGAACTAGTGCTGCACACATAAAAACCATAATCAAAGCAGCATTAACATACCATTTTTCCAGTACTTCTCACTCATCACAGAGGGATTCACTGGAGCAAATATATCTAATAGTCCGCTAATCCATTATGTTTGTCAATTAACTTTTGTTTGCTTGTTTGTATTTGTTTTTGTTTTTGCACACTGATTCCTATTTGAACAGCAGAGTGCTCTCTTTCTACATGGTGAATTAGATGGGTGGGCTCACTGATATGTCAAGTGGAAAATTAGCAACTCACCTTCTGTCTCAAAGCCTCCAGCTTCTCCTCTTGGTGTCTCTCACGCACTCTCACTAGTCTCAAGCGCTGTTGTTCCTCTGCGTGCTCTGGCAGGGTGAACTGCTGACGAGCAGTGTGCCATCTAACCATGCCCAGTGTGCAGCCACCATGACTGGGCACACTGCTGTAACCTTGACAGCGCTGAAAAAGGAACACTGTAACCGAACCAAACCGAACACTGCCTTTGGATTGACTGCCTTTCGTCTTCTTCAGGATGGATGAAACTGAAAGTAAAAATATGTGTAAAATAACTTTTTAGCTCATTTAAAGGTTCATGATTTTGTTGATTAGTCTATGAGAATACAACTACAATACAGAATATTTCACATGCCAACTTTTACTGTATTGGAAATATGTGCAGCAGTACATTTTCCGCATTAACAGACTGACCTGCATTGAATGGCACAATTCAGTTTAACTGCTTATATTGCTAGTTTAAAGGTGAGCCAAACCAGCAAACAGGCATGTATTGTTCTGTCTCTACATTCTAGATATATTGGCACGACTACAACCAATGTTCCTGAGGCACATATTTTCTTTGGTGAGATGGACTGCTTTTGGTCTGGCCTTTGTAACACTTCAGACTGTTTACAGCACAAATAGCTACAGTATTTTCCGCAATGCAAGTCACATTTTGTCATTTGAAATGTGCTGCAACTAATATTCCAAAATACTTTATGCAGTTGACAAAACAGCACAACATGCCAAAAATATGGATTAAGATATAGCACATTTCACAAGTTTTACGGCTTTTTAAAAATTATTTTACGTTAAATAAACACATTTAGGCTTGGAATTAATAATAAATGTTGTTTACACTGTATACTTGTTTTTTTATTCCTTTAGAGTAATGAATATTAAAATATGAATGATTTATAGTAGAGTGATGGGAATTGAAATAACATTTTAAAGTATTTGCAATTTCATTCATTTTCTTTTCAGTTTAGGTCCTTTATCAATCTGTGGTCAACACAGCGGAATGAACCGCCAACCTATCCAGCTTATATTTTACGCAACGGATGCCCTTCTAGCCGCAAACCAACACTGGAAAACACCCATACACACTCATTCACACTATGGCCAATTTAGCTTATTCAATTCAACTATAGCGCATATCTTTGGACTGTATGGGAAACCGGAGCACCCGGTAAATCTTGGACATCCAATGCAACTTTATTTCTAATAAATATGATATCTTAAACTTAAGAAGATAAAAAGTCTCCTTGTCAATATTTATTGTAGCTGTAACTTTTGCAGTTGCCACTAGAGGGCAGCTGAATTAGATGCGTCCCTGAACTCAACACTAGTGAGCCCTAATGCAATGTTAACAAAAACAGTAACTTTCTTCAACAAAGCAGCATTCAGAGAAGTCTTAATCTAGGTGTCTGTTTTATTTGCAATTCCATTTTCATTCTCTGGATGTGGACAATGGCTTGAGATTGGACATTAGATGTATATGAAGACCAGCGACCTGCAGTAAATCAGCTTTATTTGCAGCACTTGCAGATTCCACTGTGAATCAACAATGATACTGTGATCCAGGCATGTCCACGCACACACACAGACTACATAATCTCATAGTACAACCTGGAGGAGGAAAACCCTTACACAACACACCCTTTCCTGGTCAGAACTGTGTAATTGATTCTATATTGATAACTGTTGTCCTCGCATTGAGCTTTGTGGGTTTAAGATGACTCAGGAGCATGACTGTGCACAATGTCTCATGATTAAGTTACAACTGTCCGTTCCTCTTCTTATCTACTAAGCTGCACAATAACACTGTGGTCAGATAACATGGCACCTCCTTGTGTGTGTTTAAGCATTCGGAGATGACAACTGTTGGTTTGAAGGATTTGAAAAATACATCAATGCAATTATCATGAGTGACTTACTTGGCATGTGATGGTTCGAAGAGAAAGAGCCAATAGGTCCGGGGTCCATGCTGTCACTTTGTGGACTGTCTTCATCAGAGTCCCATTCAGAGTGTGAAGACGGGGACGAGGAAGAGTAAACCGCATCTTCATCTGGAAAACCATATTTTCTCTTTAAACCCCCACGCTGCGATGTAGTCATTGTGATCTGCCAAATAGTAAAGCATAAGATTAGATAAGCGTCAATCGATTTAAAATAAATTACATTTATTGTACATGAGTCAATGGAAAATGTTCACGATAACAACAAGGATCTACCAGATATATTTATCTTAGGTATATTTTTAAAATTGTAGTTTTAAAAACAAAATGTTTAAAATTGTGAGCGAATTCTTAAAAGCATACATTATTCGCTCTGTTATTTTAATAAAATTATATTCAAGTTATTAAAATTATATTCAACTTATCCTAAAATCAACATATTTAATAAAAAACAGTTGTGACATATGCGGCACAGTGGCTAAGTGGTTAGAACTGTCGCCTCACAGCAAGAAGATTGCTGGTTCGATCCCCGGCTGGGTCAGTTGGCATTTCTGTGTGGAGTTTGCATGTTCTCCCCATGTTGGTGTGGGTTTCCTCCAGGTGCTCTGGTTTCCCCCACAGTCCAAAGACATGTGGTACAGGTAAACTGGTTGTAGTGTATTAGTGTGAATGAGTGTGTATGGATGTTCCTTGTACTGGGTTGCAGCTAGTAGGGCATCCGCTGTGTAAAACATATGCTGGATAAGTTGGTGGTTGTTTCCACTGCGGTGAACCTGGATGAATAAAGGGACTAAGCCGAAGGAAAATTATTGAATGAATGAAAATGTGCAAATGCTAAATATAAAGATGCGAGTATACAATTATATATATATATATATATATATATATATATATATATATATATATATATATATATATATTTATTTATTTTATTATTTTTTTTTTTTCAAATATCAAATTGATTAATATTTCTGATTGCATCACAAGACTCAGCACACAATAGGTTTTTCAGATTTTAATAATCAATACATTATTTTAAGAATAAAAAAATATTAAAGGTCATACCAAAGCACTAAAAAAAAAAGTGTTGTTGTTTTTTTGGTGAACTATTCCTCATTATGAAAGGAGGTGTATGCATAAATATTTGTATGAATATCTTATTAATGATAAATCATCATAAAAAGAGTTTTTACGGGTCACATTTTGGCTGTATATCATGTCTGAAAATAAAATTTGTAACCATTAGCACACAAATCCCAAGCAGCTGCAACTGGACACCTCTCTCTTGTTCAGGCCGGTACCAAAGATTCACATCTTCACACTAAACGAAAGCTTGTTTAGCAGGTTTCCCAGGAAAAAGAAAAAAAAAACTTGACTTGAACTACAACATCCCAAGGACAGTTTCTCCGGGAAACGATCAGAGCTACTAATCATATCATGCAAATCGTATGCAAACACACAAGTGTGCATTATGCAAGCAATAATACGTCTAAAGGGAATCAATGCTTCCTTCTATCTCCCGCTAGAGTCGTTAACATTCCTCAGATGTTTGGAGTTCTTCAAGAACAGAATGTTAAGACATTCAGCTCAGCTTAACATCCTAAACGGGCCAAACTTCATGACCACAATGTGTAACACGATACTTGTTTTTATTGCAGAATCCCACAAAATGCACATATCATTGCCAAGCTCCATTTCAAAGCTTATGAAAGCACTTACAAGTACACACTTTGTGAAAAAAAAGAAAACAAAAGAGGAAACCAAAACGCAACTTCTACTCAAGTTTTTCTGCTTGAGTGGGTGTGCAAAGGGAAAAAAGCACATGCTTACAAATGCGCACAAAGCGCTCTGTGTACCTCAAATGACAGAACAACACTACCTCACACCGCAGGATGGAGCAAACTGCATCACAGATCACCTGGTTCTTGTTCACAGTGTAACCAGTCAAGCCCAACCCACACAAATGGCTCAAATGCCAAGAACACTATGTGCCCCTGTGTGTTGTGGACTCTCTCTAACACCCCTTTTCACACAGGTCTGGCTTTCTTTGAAAAGTTTTATGTAAACACACAAACTGTACTCCCAGATGCCACAAAGTCAACTATATAAAAGCTTATAGATGTGTGAAATGAACAGAACTTTGTGTTGCACTTAATTATAGAAGTCCGTGTAAGACATTCATATTTAACTGTTGCATTGAAATTGATGCCTGTGAAGAAATGGAGCATCAACTGGTGTGGTATGGTGATAAGGGATTTTACTGCTTTCTCTAGCTGCAACAAAGTGATAACAATCTTTTAAAACAGTGTTGGAATGATTACTAGAACTTTTGGGCACAATAATAGACAAACTTAAAGCAATGCAGATTTCAATGAAAACTGAGCAGAATCAGTGATTTCTTCTTTTCCGTTTGGCCAGGCTACAATTGTGCAAATGAAGGTGTGAGTGTTAGAATGTCTCTCTACTTGTAAACAGAAGGAGGAGGAGGTGAAGTCTGCAGACTGTGAAAGGGAAATGCAGACAGCTGTCAGGTGGAAAAATAGGTTATCACTTTGGCCTACAGCATATGCAAACAGTCACACTTTTTCTCACCTTCACCACAAAGCAAACTAAAATATATTGTTGATATTTGCAAATAGAGCAAATACAATTTGGACAGTTTATGATTAATCTTAAGAAGTGCAGTTTTGAATGATAATGATAGATTATTAAGCGGTTATTATCAATCTGGTTTAGAAGAAATGAAAAAGTACCCTTCTGCATCCTTGTCTCAAAGATATAGATCACCCAACAATGTGTTCATTTACATACCCTGTGTCTGTCCAAGATCAAAGATGTTTTCATTTCAGTAAAATATTAAATAAGATTGCAGAGACCGACTGTTCTAATAAGACTTTGTAGTCTTCAGGAGCTGGATGTTCATTTTGTTTAGCCTGTATGCTTTCTACACTCAAAAAAAAAATAAAAAAAAATAAAAAATAAAAATTTGTCATTTAAACTGCTTATTTAAATTGAGCTGAAACAACACAGTTCTTGATATTTCATTGGGACAACTTAATTTTTTATGTTCAGTCCACATAAATTTGTTAAAAGTGCTAAGTTCACTAAATTTGTGGTTGTGTTCCACCCTGCATTTTTTACAGTGTATTACACAGTTTAATTGTGGTTTATTCCACAGTTTTAGCTAACATTTTAATTTTCTAATGCAGAATAAAAGCCAATTACATTTTGGATGTTCTGAAATTGAGCAAATTAACCACAATTTTTCTTATCTGGGGTCATCTTTTACGTCATGACATGCAGGTGCTTATATTTCCTGTCAAGCCAAGCATTATTCTTCGTTTATAACCCTTACTTTTGTTCAGTTACACGGCTTACAAGCATCTAATTGCAATCGTGTGTTCAATTCATAATGATTGAACATAACTGTTCCGTTTCGTGCTGAAACCTTTAAAGTTACAGCAGAGCAGCTGTCTGCAACTATCGTTATAAACCTAACTATTCTGCCGTGCACGGGCACTTTAATTCTGCAGCTGGAGAACTTCTGTAGCACTTTCTCGCGGTCACGCTTCATGTATTCAGGAACGTAAGTGACCACACCAACAAACTATGTACAGCAACAATTCGTGGTCAAACAGCTGAACACTTGTACTACTGAGATCGCCTTTGGAAGCGTATGGTAAAAAATAACGCGCTGCGAGTGAGACCTACACCACAAGAACAAAAACAAACACTCACCCAGCAATTGTGTATCTGTATTTCATGAGTGGAAGAGACCACCATAGGACGCTTGAAAACTTAAGACTCTTTCTAGTCGTCGATGCACGTAGAGTACAGTGAGATCAGCTGTTGTTGAGTTGTGCTCGTCAGTGGAAAGCTCCCCCCACACCGCCTGACGTACACAGTAATATGAGGACAAAAACAGCAGTCATGACGCTCAGCGCGTGCACAAACTCACTGACGGTCACAGAACATTCACAGAGGAGCTGGCAAAACAAAACAAATTTGACAGTGACGAAAAACTGCACTGAATGACGCCAGACACTAGATGTACTGGATGTCCTTGTGTGGAATAGTGTGATACACTCATATGATTCATCCTATGATGCTGCTGCCACGACAAGATTTTGTGAGACATCAATTCTGCAATATGAAATTGTTTATGATGCCCACGTCTGCTTTATTTCCCCCAGTGAGCACTTTAAAGTTGAGGAAGGCCATTTTCATATTCTGTAGGTTTGTCTTTTTTATAAACAGCAGTGTGCAGAAGTCTGGAGTGGGTATTTGCACAATATTGAATTTTAATGATGAGTTTAGTTTACAATCATAGCAAGGAGGGGGGGGGGGAAAGCACATGTAGTTCGGCAGTTTTTTCCACAAGAAATTATTGGCAAAAAGGCAAATCAAAGGATATAGGTTTTATTTTACTCAGCAAAAAGCTCACATCCCAAAAATAGGCTTTACACAGACTACAGTTCGTATCATTTATTAATATTTCATTATTTGTCTTGCACTTTATTAACTAAATATTTCAGTGTTGTCACAATTTAAACTATTAAAATGCAAAGCACACACAAAGGTTTCCTCCAAGCACAACTATGCAAGTCACAGAAAAATATCCATCAACATAGCACCATCTGAATAACAGTTATAGGTATACATTCCTACTGTTTGGGTCAGTTCGTACAATATCATAAAGATTTTTCTAATCAATGGTTCCCTGACGCCATATTATCTATAATATAATAAAGTATGGCATATGCGCGGTGGCGCAGTGGGTAACGATTTTGCCTCACAGCAAAAAGTACGCTGGTTCGAGCTTCAGCTAAGTCAGTAGGCATTTCTGTGTGGAGTTTGCATGTCCTCCCCGTGTTCGCGTGGGTTTCCTCCAGGAGCTCCAGTGTCCCCCGCAGTCCAAAGACATGCAGTATAGGTGAATTTCAGTAAGCTAAATTGTCCATAGTGTATAAGTGTGAATGAGAGTGTTTCCCAGTGATGGGTTGCAGCTGTAAGGGCATCCGTTGCATAAAACATTGGCTGGATATGCTAGCAGTTCATTCCACATATGAATGACATATGCAGACATAAAATATTTGTCGTCACATGTTTTACTGCAGCCACTTTTCAAGAACAACACATTATAAAGATTTATGATTAAACATGACAATTTAAAATTACATTTGAATTAGTATTTTTTACTGCACTGTGGTCTTAATAAATAGTAGTAATAATAATAATAATAATAATAATAATAATAATAATAATAATAATATTCTGGTCTTAATGTTAATAATATTGTGGCCCTAAATATAGTGTTTTATTATGTCATCAAATGAATCGTCCTTGAAATTTGCCTGACAAAATGATATTTGTTATACATTTGTTAACTATTAGTACACTAAATTACATCTTGGTGGGTGTCTTCTGTAAATTATATAGTTAAAACAAATCAGAGTCTTTTTGTTTTACTCAGATATATATATATATCAATTAGAATTATTAGCCCCTCTGAATTTTTTTCCCCCAATTTCTGTTCAACAGAGAAGATTTTTTTCTTATTCTTTTTTTCTTTTTTTAATTTTCTAAACACAATAGTTTTCATAACTCATTTCTAATAACTGATTTATTTATCTTTGCCATGATGACAGTAAATATTATTTTACTAGATATTTTTCAAGACACTTCTATACAGCTTAAAGTGACATTTAAAGGCTTAACTAGGTTAATTAGGTTAACTAGGCAGGTTAGAATAATTAGGCAAGTTATTGTACAATGATGGTTTGTTCTGTAGACTATCGGAAAAAATATAGCTTAAAGGGGCTAATAACTTTGTACGAAAAAGGGTGTTTAAATTTTTTGAAACTGCTTTTATTTTAGCCTAAATAAAACAAATAAGACTTTCTCCAGAAGAAAAAATATTATCAGACATTCTGTCAAAATTTCCTTGCTCTGTTAAGCATCTTTTGGGAAATATTTAAAAAAGAAAAAAAATCAAAGGAAGGCTAATAATTTTGACTTCAACCGTATCAATCAGCACATTCTAATGTATGGGGGGAAAAAATCTGTATCACTTTTATTGTTAAGATGCTTGAAAATACTTTGAACACAATTTGAAACATACTAATAAATGGATTTTTTTACAGAATGTAAACTTTTTTTTTTTCAAAACAAAAACAAATCCAACTTAAGCCACAAATCAAGACAACAGTCAACATATAAAATCTATTAACCAGTTTTAAATATATATATAACAACTTGCCTCAACCTAGAATTTATTTTTTAAATCCTCATATAAAACATACAGCAGCTTTAGTGAAAACACACATTTCTTTACTTTTGAAAACCTTACAGTCATTCAGATACATCTTTTGTGACATAGTGTCTTTTCTACATTCTACTTAATGCTTTCTCCAAGTGCATTTAATGGACCTCGTTCATTTTCTTTCTAATTAAGCCTCTTCCAGCTTGTGCTGGTGAAGAAAAGAAAAGCAGTGACAGGGGTCAGACAAAAGGCAGAGGAGAAAACATAACTGCGGCTCTAGCCTCTAAGCCAATCACTGAAGAAACACTGCCTGGAAACCAGAAACCTCTCCATGGCAATGACACTGAGAAACATCCATCACGGGAGACCAGCCGGGCATCATGAGGCAGATGGTAACATCTCTGTGCCTTTCTTCCACTCTCCTCCTCACACACACATACATACATACATACACAAACACACACTTAACACTGACTGTATCACCTCAATGATTTCCCATCTGCTTGGTAATGAAACCACATTTCACCTATCCTTCAGCGCCTGTGGTGAGACAGACGTACAATAGAAGCACAGATAGACACTTAAAAAGCAGGTTAAAACATGTCAACAATACACTGGGGAATGAGCTTTCAAACATAAAACACCTCCATATGCTCAGGGGTTCAATATTTTGTGTGAAGTGTTTTGAGATTTAGCAAAAAACACTTTGAAGACATTGACCACGAATGAAGGCAGGTTTTGCACAGTGTATCTCATTTAATAATTAAATGCACAGACTAAAATTTGTAGTACGCGGAGTCTTATGATAAGATTTGGCAACAGAGGGGGAGTTCCAAGTGCAGCTTCTATTCAAAGAGAGTGGTCAGCGGGCAGGGGTCAAAACAAGTGCAAAACAGTATCATAAGAGGTAATCCAATAGTTAGACAAACACAAGGGCAGGCAGCAAACAATCACAGAGACAGTCCAAGAAACAAAAAGAAGAAACACTGGCAAAGTCCACAACGGAAATGCACAATACAATATCCCACCATGAAGATGAGTGAATGTGGTGCTTAACTCATGTGTATATTCTGTAATGGTGACCTGCAGCTGTGTGAGAGAGTCCAGGTTGGTATTGTTGTCTAAATTATTAAGTTTAAATTATTAAATTATTATTATTACTAAGTTAATCAAAATTCCTGTAAAAAAAATAATAAAAATCAGATATTGCTTTTGAATTGTGGTTCACCAGAAGCATTTATACAACATTGAAGGGCACCAACATTTGTGTCCACGTCTGTAAATCTCCTAGTCCCTGCTTGAATCAGTCTGAGGCAGACAGATAGGAAGCACAAGTGAGAAAGGGAAATGACACCGACATATCTAATAGCTCATAGTTGATCATTAGCTACCTTTTTGCAATTTCTAGCATATTTATGAGTTGGTTCATCAACATTGGCTCCTGGTAAAGTGTATGTTGTTGTCCCCAAGATTACAAATCTGAATGAAGGCTCTGGCAAATGTCAGAGTTATTGAATGAGTTATTGTAACAACTAATGTTTAAGGAAAGCACATTTATTTCTATGATCAAAACTGACTGGAACTTTCTGTGAATGAAATGATTTTATTGCACACCTTCCAGCCAATCAGAATCAAGAATTTTAACAAACCATGGAATAACGATCCATAATGGCTATTTATTCAACCAAAAGGGCAGGGGTACTGTTCATTAAAACTATGCTTTAATTAGGCTGTTCAGTCGATTTCGTGTTAAACAGTCATTTATTCATATAATTGCATTTCACTTCAATCATACACTGTTAAAAAAAAATCTGGTTGCCTTCAATTTTTAAGCTGAATTAAAATTAACCTTATGAGTCCATTGAACTTATATTATGTTAAACTGACTGAAAACAGCTTGAGTAACTTATAAAATTAAGTTAGAACATGATTAACTTAGATTAATAAGTTACAATGTCCTAAAACATACTGTCATGACTGATCAAATACTTTTTTTACAGTGTAGCATCAACTAATTATATGCTCTATAATGCACTATGTATTTTTTTAATTGTTGTCAATTGACAGTATATTATACAACAGAAATACAATAGTATAGTTGATGCTCGATAAAATGCCCTTTATTTTGCAATAGTTAGATGACTACAAACTATAAACTTGCAAACCAAAATCTAAAATTAAACCATGTAATATTGTACATTTTAATATGCAATTTATTTTGCAGTATTGGTCAGCTGACTGTACATTAAACTATAAAAACCATGTATTACTGAGCATCAAACAGTAATAGTAGAATTGACATCAGTCTCCACAATGAGGCTGACACCACCAACATCTGTCTGACTTCAAAAACTAACATTATGGCAGCAGACTTGCAATTACAGACACATGCACCAATAGAGATTAGTTTACTAATAGAAATTAGGTTAGGTTTACTCATTAAAAGCATTGCATGCAGCTTGCATGAGCAAGTCTGCAGCCAGAACAATGTCATGTTGATGTCACAATATGACATCATGCTGACATCAGAAGCTAATCACAAACCAATGTCAGGGGGACATCAAAAAGCAACAACAGGTGACATCTTTTTTTTATTATTATTAGTATTATTATTGAACAGTAAATTATTACAGCATAATGAAACATTATGAACTATAGAAGGAAAATAGATAATGCCAGG